TATGAATCACTAGTGTTTTATATTTTCAATTAGAATTATGGAGATTAGTATTTTTTTTTACACATTTGAAATCATCATTCAATCATTGTTAGACCACCATTTAAGCTACTTCTTCAAAATAAATTCATAAATAACCAAATCAAATTAACACTGGTTTAATTTAGTATAAAGTAACAAGGTAAGTATGAAAAACGTGTAATTTGCGAAATGACGAGGTAGAGATGAAAATAAAAATGGATCTGCGTAGCTTCATTGATGAGCAAGATGAATCTGATGTAAATGAGGAGGCGCTAAAAAAGGGCAGTATTTCTTCTCAAAACAACTATCAACCAACACCAAATATAGAATTTTCAATACAAATTTCAAGACAGTTCTATTCTATGGGGTTGAAAATTGGAGAACTATCAAAGCCATCGTCCATAAGGCACAAATAATTATTAACAGTTGTCTATGCAAGGTACTAAAGATCCACTGGCCAGAAACCATGAGCAACAACCTATTGTGGGAAAGAACAAACCAGATTCCAGAGGAGGAGGGGATCAGGAAGAAGTGCTGGAAGTGGATTAGACACATTGAAGAAAGCACCAAACTGCATCAGAAAATAAGCCCACACTATGAATCCTTAAGGCTAACGGGAAAGAGGAAGATCAAATAACGCATTACGTCGAGAATCGGAATCACACGTGAAAAGAATGAACGGCAGTTGAATAGAACTGGAAAAGAAGACCTAGGACAGAAGAGCAGGTTGGAGACTGGCTGAGGTCGCAGGCATAAGCAAGTCGGTAAGTAAGTAAGTACATAATTCTTGTTGAGTTATTCACACATTTTTCGACCTTGCTAATTATTCACTTTTATCTTGGTTGCTTTTATTCAAGTGTGTGTGCCGTTTACTCTGTTTATTACATATGTTTAGCCTATTCTGTCGGACTATAAATTCTCAGCCATGCTTCATAGCAATGAGGTAGCTCGTCAGCCTTTCTTATTTCGCTTCGCTCTGCTTGTTCGCTTGTCACTCTCGTACCTGTCTGCGCAAATGAATGCATGAAATAAATTCATTCACAAAACCGTATTTGGCTTCTAATCACAGCCATCGCACAAACTGGGTTCGCCAAAGTATGATGTAAGGAAATTGAAGGGTAGATTTATTTTCTACCCACATATAACTGTTCATAAATATAGGAGTCAGAGAATGGGCCATTATAATGATGATTCCTAATGTGAATTCAAAGCAGCCATATGTTTCTCTAAATAAATCGATAGATCTACCTAAAATTTCTCAATTCTTATGTAATTTGCTGTTTGATAAACAGTACAATTGTTTGTATTATTGTACTATTTTAATTCATGGCCATTATGTGCATTGGTCCACATTCTATTTCAAGGACGCCAATATCTGTTCATATGTGAATGGAGCCTAATGTTATCATCCGATTGCATTATAAAAACGATCTAATGCTATGTTTGTAAATATTTAGTGAGACATCTTTACAATGTAACCAAATGAATCCTATAATATATTACAGATAACTGAAAAAAATGAGGCCATTTGGACAGCTGTTTCATTCTAAACTGGAGACTTTGACACAGTGTCTACTAACTGTTTCGTAAGATATTTTTAATAAATGGCGATAGTTTAATACCTATTCACTGATAGATAATATGCGAGTACATATCAGTAGAATATTTTAACTGAAGTCAACTTTGTTTCTACATAAAGAACTAAGGATACAAACAATCACATAGACGTGGTTTATTTCTATTGTTACAATAATTTGCACATACACACACACTAATCCAATCTTATCTGAACAAAATATTCCAACTGAATATATCTAAGAAATTGTTTTAATCTAGTTACTTATATCCAGGTAGTGTGCTCTATTAGAATGCACAAACAACTTTGGAATTCAAAAACATTTTCTTGGATACGATAGAAGCATGATTAAATGTACTTACTTAATTCTTTTGCAGACCACAGTGAATTCATATTTAAATTGAAAGACTTTATGAATAAGTGATTTTCTTACACACATTATACATGTTCGAATAAATTAATTATAATGCTTATTAATTTTAAATGATCTCAACTCATTTTATTATAGTCCAAATTCCCTAGAAAATTTCAAAAAATGATTTGAGGATTTTTTTTCATAGAGCCAAGTTCAAGATTATTTCATTTTAAAAATTTGATAACTAATCATTATAATTTGTCAGATAATTGATTTTTAAAATTCAATAAAACAGAACCTTGATACGGATTACTTAACTAACGAATATCACTCTGAGAAAAAAATGAGACACTCCAACTAGTCATATTCATTTCTTTTAGAATAAATCCAGAAAACGGTAAATAAATCTTTTCTTGTTTTGGCTGGAATATTTTGAAATAGTTATTAACCTTAGAATAGTGACCAGAAACCGCAAACAACTAGAAAAGTTTTGGTCATTTGTACCTTCGAACGAGAACTTATTTTTTAGAATCTCCTTAGTGTTTTCTGTTACGATCGTAATAATATGTGTGCTGAGATAAGAGATAATTTCCAACAGTAACTGCTACCTTGACGTGGTAGTCGGGTTAGAAAAGGTCGACCCTAAAAATGTCATACCTCATGGACTTACGTCTCTGGTGGTAAGGCCTTTTAAACGAGAGTGGGGCTAACACTCTAAAAAACTTCTCATAAAAAGGCCGTGTGTAATCTCAAGCAGTTATCCGTTAGGCTCTGCAATAACGCTCCCAGGTCTTTAAGACCAACACACTAATTCAACTTACTTTTCAGGTTCCTCAAGAAACATCCACCGTGTGGGCAGCCGGGAACTGACATCTGGCCTCATACCCGTAACAGCACACAAGACAAAATTGGTTACAATCAAATGTATGCTACATCCTCTAACATCGCTCTTATCTCTACGACTAACTCTTCTCACATTACTTTATCGCCCCGCCCCGCACCGCTAATGCAAACGATTCGAGTTCACTAAACGTTATTCTTGGTCTCCTGACTAAAGCGATAATTGACTACTATTTCCAGTACATTTGATATAGTTCAGGTTGTTCTCGATTTGAATTTGACAAGTTCGGATAGAATTTCATGTAACAGATTCAATGACAAAAATCTATATAGTTCATTTACTTGTAAAGGTAAATTACTGAAAAAAAGCTTAAGTTGTCTTGTTTCTATTTTTACATGTTCATTTCTTTTTTAAGAGTTAACCTTTATATGACATTTATATCTTCACAATGACCTATACTGTTATTTTAATTGACTGTTGTCAGTTTTAGTTTAGTTTGTTCAATATCAAACACACACGTGTTCCATTTCATTTCTTGATTTTTATTCATCATGTCAAGTTACTCTGAAATTTCTATCTTATCTAGTTCATATAAGCGTATAAATTATCAACCTTGAAAAAACAGTGTCATTTTTCATTTCCCATTCTATTGAAATTCGCTGTAGAACATATTCTGTTCTGTAGAATAAGCTTAATTGTTTTGTAATTAGCAATTATTATTATTATTATTATTGTTTTAAGGCACAAGATATAAAAATTGATTCTTATATCTTAAGAAATAAATTTTCATATTAAATTCGATTTTCGATATGATTATCTATGCTCTAATTCATGAATAGTTCATTTAAACAATTTCATAGTGTCAACCATTGATATTTGATTTTCTACCCACAGTATACATTAACATAAACAATATATATATATATATATTCTTGTTTATTCTACTTAATAAATAAACTGGAGAGAAAATAAGAACTTAGTCAAAAAAATATTACACTGATATACATTTATTTTATTTATATAAATATTATATATGCACTAATTGTAACAACATAAAACAATCAAGAACAATATGTGCATTTTATGAAATGAGCAACATTATGCCAGCAACAATCAAAAAAACAAGAAATTAGAAAAAATGAAAAAGTGTAAGAAAGTCAGAAAGCTAAGAAATCTAGCGATAGTGTCAACTCTTTACACAATATGCCATTGCATACGATATCACTATTTGACTCCATATGCTAATGAAACAAAATATACTTCTGTTTTTATTGTACTTTACTTTACTTTCAATGGTTACAATGAACAATACTCAACAATATACGCATAGAGATAGGTCGAGAGATAGATAAATCAATACAGGAATGGAATAATCTGTAGAACTAGTCTTGTGTAAATAAGAAATATAATCATTTGATGATGATGATAATAATATAAAAAAGGGAATAAACTGTATGTATGACTGTAGTTCTTCAAATATCAACCATCATAAATTACTTACTTAAAAATAATGCAGAGAACAGTAATCATACAAAAGTAATCATACATATGACAAATTTTTAAGCAAATATAGAAAAAGAAAAGCAAAAGGAATTGGAATGGAATATTTGCAAAATTTCACAAATTTTTCGTAGCAACGATGCATATATACGTGCATAATAGACTCAAGATAATTAATTGTTTAACAGTTTTTTTTTTATACACAATGGTATAGACAGAGAGAGAGAGAGAGAGAGAAAAGTACACAGACCGAGAAAGTACTACTAAGAAAACAATAAAAACGAAATACAAAAATTAATCACTAGTCATGAAACAGTAATCAATCGAGAGAGAGAAAAAAAACCAGCTGATAGATAAACAAATGAAAATTTCTTTCTTTCATGGATTGATTGAAGAGTTTGATTAAAATAGAACAAGATAAACAAGTGAGCAAATCAAAAATTTGTTGATTACAACGACTAGGGGATAAGACCATATATATGGCATACTTATTCCTTTTTCAGAATGAATTATCAATATAAAAAAGAAGAGAGAGAGAGAGAGAAAATAGACCCAATTTATATGAACCATGGATAATTTGATTGACCAATTCAATTTCAGTAGAGTTGATCCTGTTTCACCAATTACATTATATCTGTACGAGGTTGTGTTGTATTGTTGCACGCTGACCATGAAGATTTTCTTTTTTTGATGATGTATAAGAAGAATGTTTAATGATTGTCATGATATGGTTGTTGATGTTGTGACGATGATGGTAGTGGTGTTGTTGCTGGTGTTGTTGTTGATGATGCTTGTGGTGGTGGTAGTAGTGGTAAACGATAATTATTCTCATCAGTTAAATTATGCATACGCCTAGAATGAATATGAGACTTGGTTCTATGATTGATATTTCTATTTTCGGTACTCGTTGAAGGATACATTGATCCACTGGAAGAAGGAGGTGGAGGATGAGGATGATGATGAGCTGCTGCTGGTGGTGGTGGTTGAGAACTACTAGGCGCATCTTGTGACGATGTACCGATAGCAGTCGGTTTACTTGTAAATCTGTCAATAATACGTTTTGGATGTCTAGTCCATTTAATCATAGTCTCCGAGGAACGATAAAGGAAGAATAGTTTTGCCACTAATTGTTCTTCTAATAATAATAAATTATTTTCACGTACAAGATAAATTTCATGGCATAAATTTAAAATACGATCCACATGAGGTAGTTCTTCAAGACGAATCACATAAGAAATATTACTATACATAGTACGTAGTAAACGACTAGCCAGAAAGATATATGCAGCATACATACCAATGATACTGTGAAATACAAGTAAGATAAATTAAGAAAAAAAGTGTGAAGCATAATTAGAATTCAGATACAACACAAATGAATGCATGCAAACACAAAATAAATCAAAAGAAAATAAACATATCAAACGATAAACACCAACTAATTATTATAATAAACAGATGGTCTGGTACAAATCATAAACCAAGCCAACGAATACATGTTCGAGTAAAGCGCCTATACACAGACTGTGAACTTCGTCGGCATGTTATTTATCGACAAACAAAAAAAATACCCATCACACATTTTCTAAATTAAAAAGTGAAAATTCAGTCGAAATTGTTCAAGTTTTAGGCGCGATGATGAAAATGTATGCACCTATATGATGAAGAAGTATTTAACATATTATCATAAAACATTTTCATCATTTATTGAACATGATAAACAATAATTAACTGTTGCATTGATTGGTATGCAAAATTACCAATCGCACTTTTTTTCCAAGTTATGAGCCAGATTACTGAAATCCTAATAACAAACTCCAAATCATGACTCGCATAACAAATGTAGAGAGTATAGCATTAGTCACTGACTAAAACATAATGATACATTCAACGGGAATAAGGTATTACAAATGTTATGCTATTTTATTTGATCTAACAAGAAGCAAAGTAACGATATCAACTTACGATGATGTTTGTTGCTTCATTAAAAGTTAAAAATAACTCAATAGCAAGTGAATATCATTCGAGGAAAAATTATTTCTAACACAACTATGATGATGAAGATTTATAGCTTAAGGGATGTTGTGTGTTGTATATCAATGTATTTATTTGTGAAGCTTTTAAAAATTGCTTGCTTACGTCAACACATCAACAGTAGAAACGCCAACTAAAGTTTGTTGATGCTTGGAAATACACTGAACAGTTTATGATTAAAGCAAACCAGGTTGAAAAACATAACACAACATATGTCTTAATTGTATAAAAGTAATTACTCATATATTATGAAGAAAAATCGATATTCCATTCTTTGTATTTCCAAACTATTCTGATGATTATTATAGTAGAGTGTAATTCTACAGTGTTTGGTCACTCAATCATAATTCGCAATGTTATTGTTAGTTATTTCCATAACTAATTGTAGTTGTGTCATGTCTAACCAATCAAATTGTGGTTTAAGCGCCCATCACGTGATCTGATCTGACGTTTCTTTAAACTTTCTTTGTTGTAAATGACCTATTTATTGAAGGACATTATTATCTTATTATATTGATGTGACTCATAGTTTTATTCATTTCCATAAGACACGCTATATTGGTCAGTATGTTTGATCGTTTCACTTGATAATTGTAATTTCCTTATTTATTGTACTAATCTAATTGTTTTCATGTTTAGAAACAGATAAAGTTTAAAGAAAAATTGGTCTTGTTCTGACTATAGCTTTCCTATAGACTCTGTGCTCGCCAATATTGCATTTACAGTTCTAGAAGTACGCCTGTAGGACAAATTAAATCCTACAGTTATTCTGTTTGGTTATTAGTGTTAACCCAAATTATGATAATGAAGTTAAACTATGGAAGAGTAAATAAGTTTATTATTATTGTTAGCCAATTTATCAGGTACAGATTCGTCTGTTTGGCTTTGTGATAGATTTTAAACGTGAGGTCCAGCAACACTACCCAGCTGAGCAAGCTGAAGTAGTCAAAGTGAGGTTTGGACCCAAAATCTAGCAGCTGAAGCTGTATAAGTAAGTAAATAAACTAACTATATGTCTAATGTTAGTCAGTTGGATTTAATTTACAAAAAAAAACATTCTTCAAAAAACGTTTACTCTTCGTTTAGATTCATAGCTTCTGTTTAAAGTATGTGATGATAAATGTGTCTAGAAATCTTTTAAACGCTTTATGATGACACTATCTAGTTCACAAAAGATTAAATGCCGAGACGTTATGCATGAAGTCAATCAAAATAAAAATAGAATTATACCGAAAACTTTCAAAGTGTTTATATACATCAAACAATAACATATAATAAACATTTTTAAAAATCAATATTAATAATAATTTTCAACAAAAACCAAAACATTTGAAAATAATTCAAATTACCCATAGTTGCTGAATACTTTACCAAATAAACTATCGGATACACGTTCATTGAAAGTGAGAACTGACAAAACATTCGCTTCCACAGCATTACTACTTAATGTTGGATGTCGAATTACTTCAAAACAAGGATCAGATGACAGACTATTATTAATTGTCTCTTTTAATTCCCACCATGCTTGATGACTTACTAAATCTTGATGTATATGAAAACTAACATTTACATAAGTTTGTGGATTACCAAGAAAAGCATATGCACCACGTAGTTTATCTTTTTTAAGTAAAACATATCTTGGCAATACAGAATTCAATATGACTGGATCAATTGGAGAGTGATGTGATGCCATGGATATACTATTGTTATTATTCGTCATACTTGCAGGTGTTCTATGCATGGAATGTTTATGATAATTTGATGAAGGAAAAATGGGATTTGTTGAATTTAACACCTTAAGTAATTGTAATTTTTCCGATGGTGACAATTTACGACTAAATATATCTTCAACTGATGTATGACTTGATTGAATTTCTTTTGTTGATCTATAATATATAAAAAAAAAACTTTATGATCTTAATCATCAACCATGAAATTTCCACTAAATTACAACTGTTCACACAAAGATATCAGGTGGTGAACTGAAGAAAATTTGAACTTTTCAGTTGATGTCTGTCATAAAATCATAGTTTATATTAAGGGAAGAACATCAAGATGATATGACTTGAAATTATTTCGACAGATGTATGTATACATATTTTTTTGTTTTCAACTATTACACGGTTTTAATTAACCAATTAGTCTATTATCTATCTATAAATGATAAATTTTGATGCTTAGTTTAGCTTATTAGTGATACAAATTACTACTTTTTGAATACGTTAATGCTGATCTTGTTAATTTCCGCTTGTTGTGCTGTTGTGAAACACAACAACTTTCTGTTGAATCCACACAGCTTATAACTGACGGACTTTGAATAAAGTTTTTAACACATTGAGAGATAAGTGAAGCAAGTACTAAAACGTGTGGTGTACAACGTGGTGCATCCATGTTTTATTAAGCTTTTACTTGTTAAATAACTGGATGTATTCAACAAGGAACTTCTAGTCTACGCTTTGCGCTGGTTGACACTTGTCATCAAGCCGTACCTATAGACTCGTGAGGATTGATGTTCTTTGTGGGATTCGGAGCCTCGTAAACCAGTCTTACAGTGGGAGATGTTATTAATGAGCTGTTCAGATCACGACTGATCTCCTACGGGACTGAGATATTTATGATTAGCTGATTCACTGATTAATGATCTATGTCATGTTTATTTAGTTCTTTTGAGTGAGGATCAAATTCCATTGAACATGTTAGTGATCAAATAATAAGAATAAATAAATTCATGAAGACAAGTAGGCATTTACAGTTGTTTCTCCCCACTTTCGGATCTTCCAAAAGTAAAGAGTGTCATTCAAATAAATAGTAAACAACAGTAATTGACGGTTATGACATCTATAGTAACATTTCCACTACAAAAATATACTTGACAGTGAAATCGTCTTAGGGTGTCTACTCACTATAAATTGTACTATTCCTTCAAGACTGTTTATATATCCAATAAAATAAACCATGCTATTATTAGTATTACTAATACTACTACTACTACTGCTGTCTCCATATAAACGAAAATTCTATCAAACTTTTAAACTGAAACCAATGATTATAAAAATAAATTTCCGATCTATCCGACAAATTTGAATCTGGTACCGATGGATTAGACTATGCATCTTTTGCTCTCCTTCCAACATTGTTTCTTACAAATCTGTATAGATATAAATCTGTTAAGTATTTTTTTTATATGAAATAGACACCTCAGGATTAATTTATCATTCCCAAAAATAAGAAGTCATAACAATTCAAGAAAATAAAATAAACCGATGAATCAGACACAATCTAGTCAGCTAACAGTCAACTCTATAAACATAAACAAACTGATAGCTTGTTGTCCTAAAAAACATCAATGGGAAAATTCAAATGACCAATTAAAGAGAAGACAAGTAGCTTTAGGCTAAATAAAGTAAATGGTACAAAAAAAAATATAACCTAACTAATTTATCCTATCGAATAAACTTTATGCAAATGAAATTGACTTAAAATTCATAAAATTAAAATTGTCAGTATGGAGTGTGAATTTCAACTTTCCGCTAGTTTTAATACACAATATTATTACTGAATTATAGAAACAACAAAAACTTTTTCAGACAAATTGTTATAAATAGGTCAGTCATAATCAACATCAGTGTCAGATGCTACATCAGTCGGTATGTCCAAGTTAGAAAACCTTATGAACGATGAACAGCTAGTCAATACAGTCAGGTTTCTTATGAGCTCTATTACAGTGCTAAATGATCATTGAGGCGAATATTTTAAATACTACATCAGTCAAGCTGATTCTTTCTTCTGTGATTGTAACAAGAGGATTTTATCCGCTTCAAATAATTTGGGATGATCATTGATCAAGGCGCTTAGTCTCCAGATTTCGGCTAATAACCTGCTAGGGACGTTAGATCCTCAGAACTCACTTGGAAAAGGTCATAATTTTGGATTTTTTTTATGTTTTCGCGCACAAGTTGCTTAGATGATCTTCAATTTACATTTCCCTCTCGAAAAATCCTTGACTGTCATTACTGATGGATGATTTTAGTAAGCTATTTTTATGGCTCTCCAAAGGGCGTCTCTATCATGTATAAGTAAGCTCGATTTGTGTGTTTGTCGACCTCGTATTTTCTGGATGCTTGTAGAATACATTCTCTACGGCTCGGCTGGGGACAAATGGATTAAAATGTCCTACCGTGTCACTGCATCATTCGTATTCACTCTGTTTACCGAGTAAGGTGAAATCGTAATAGTTCAAGCATATCGATTGACGAGCATATCAAAACCTCAGCTAATCTAACTTCTGAAACTGCATTAGCATTTTGAAAGATCTATTAGGGTTCATTTTTTATAATTTTATAATATGAAATTTTCAACTTCATTAAGAGTTAAGATGCTTATTTCGATATTCTATTCTGGTTATTTTGTAACAGTGGTCAACTAGATGGTAGCTGAAGAACAGATAGACTGTTCTCGTTCACCACAACCCTTTGGAATGAATAAAGATCACGATCCTGTATTATTTTTTGACTACCAAGAGTTGTCTACTATTCTTTAATCCATTAGCCTTTTCAATCGTTTTTACTTTTGCTGACCAACATTTCTAACGATTATCATGTAATAAAGAAATAAATGTTTTTAATACACACAAACAGGATAGATAACCGGACTACAGAGAAATAGTAAAATCAATACATACCTGCGACATTTCATATGAAAATGTAATAGTAAATCTGAATCAGGAGAACTTAATTTCATTAATAATGCTTGATATGATGGTGGTGTGATAGCCCATATATTGCCAGAAAAACCATCAATTGTTATATAACGTAAATCATTCCATTCGAAATTATGTAAAAATCCAAATGTTTGCTAGAATAAAAAAATATCAGAAAAGAAAAAGCATTTCAACATTGTATTATTACATAGATTGATGTAGTCCAACAATGCAAAGGGGAAATTTGTAAATCTGATTTTAAGCTACACAATTTTTTTATTGTATGATTGATTAGTAACGTTACGCAATTGAACAAGCACATGTGTTTATGGCTAGAATCCAGAAGTTGAAAATCAAACCCTAGAATCTACTAAAAACCGATAATCCAAACTTTAAACAATATTCAATATGAGAGCAAAAAAACAACAACAAAACACAACGAATCATAGTGAATTATTAAAATAAACGAATTGAATTTGATTGATTTTGTTGCTTCTTTAAATTATATCAATTACAAAAATCAATTAGATGGGAAACTAAATGTGTACATATGTAAAAAAGATGATAAACTTAAATATTGTTAAATAAAAAGTAAATTAATATCCATTAGGTGCTGTAAATCGGCCATTTTAATTATTATTATTATTATTATTATTATTATTATTATTATTACTCTTCCTATACTAACTTCTATTTATTGTTCTTTTTTATTGTATTCACATTCTTTCCTCTATCTCTTCACGATGTCATTCATGTTGTGCGAATCATAATGATAGGTCTGCAGAGATTAAACACTCAATCCCGTATACTACAGACAACTTGAACACAAGGGGAAATGAGCGAAGTGAGATTAGATAATGTACAGAAAAAAAACGAGGGTATTCGTAGAGTTACACATAACCTCAGATTTTTGAAATCATAATATATGCTGCATTAATGGTATGTGAAAATGCCTAACCCAGATTGTGACACGTAATTCTACATTTTATAGGTGTTTCTGCGAAGGTTCTATTTAACGCTGACTGGATAAAAATTTTCTGAGAAATACTTTGGAACCCCCCCCCTAACACATAGATTTTGATTCTCCTCACTAACTAACAGCTTGTGTTTAAAAGAATAAGTCACAGAAACTGGTAAGGAATTTATAGGTAGTATGCTTCCATGATGAGTTATACATCACATATAAACAAAGAAAAAATTTCAATATACATTAATCATTACTGCAAAACCACGCCTTAAGCTAAGGGGATTTATATTACTTTAGTGTATGTGATGATATTGAACTCTCTTATACATCAAACAAAAACTTCTTACCTTGTCTTTTTCATGACAACGAATAAATTTGCTCAATTCAGATGAATTCACAGTAAATATATTTCCTTCACGTGAAGTAAATTCGAATGTAGGCTATTGAATAAAGATAAACGACGGAATAAATAAATTTTTCTCCAACAATAAAGAGTAGTTTAAAACATTCAATAATGATTCGCCAAATGTTTTTTTTCCTCTTTTACACTATTGCGAATAAATCCGAGAAATTTAATTCTCAAACATCAAAAAATAAAAGAATGAGATACATATTTGCTGAAGATTTTTCAAACCAATGAATTTACAGTGGAAACCGACTACGACTTGTAAACTCCGATTGTAAATTGAATAACAATTATGAGTAAGAGAAGCCCAAACGTATAAACGATATACTAACTCATACTATCAATGCATTATTGTAGGGATTCAAAGAGTGGTGTTACATTGTTATACAAAAACAATTCAAGCCAAATGGCTCAGTGTTTTAATAAAATAATCACATGCCATAATTTATACATCTGATACAGATAAGAAGTATTCAGCTTTGAGATGGTGAAAACTTAAATGAATTGCTTTGGTGATGTTACGAATAATCTTCCACGGATCACTGGGACAGAAAATATTACACTAATCAATGAGATCGCAGAAGAAATGACTAGAAATAGTTCACATATGAAATATTTGTATTCACTAACATCGATAATATTATTATTAAATATACAAAACGAGATAGGATATGAAACCATATACACAAGAAGGTTACTGAGATCCGGTTGATTTCGTATTGCTAGTTTATTCAGATGGTAATCAATCGACATTATCTGTAAGCCGATCGATCACTTCCCGGCTTGTAAGAGAAACTTATTTAACCAATTGATAAATATTTCACCAAGGAATAAATAATGAAATGCTAAACTATCAGATGATAATTAGGTCATTTTATTAGGCGAGAGACAGAGAGAAAGAGAACTGTTGAAATAATTGGTACATCAAAGAACATATAAGAAATATAACAAAATCCCATTGGTATATAAGTCAACTAAACTAACACAACATAAAATATTATGACATAGTCAAGGGTATTTTTACAAAAAAATTCACTAATATTCATGTTATTCATTATTGAAGAGAAATAAATAGAAAAAAAAAACACTTATGTAACAATTAAACACGTTATTCATGAATGAATTTACCATGTAAAAAAATTTGTTGAACATATAATAGCAATCAACAAAAAACTGTCATGGAATAAAGATTTTGAATAATCAACGACAAAGTATCTGATGAATTGAGTGGAAATTCGTTATGTGTAACAAACTTATTTATGCGATGAAGCTTGAACTCTAAATCGAAGATATATATGTATATATTCTCTGTTTACACTTTGACCTTAAAATATCCGCTCCGTCCGACTTTGCGGGTATGAAACAGGGCAATTGAGAATAGAGGATATTCGTAAATAACAGGTACTCGATCATACGTGTTTTCGAAGCAACCAGATAGGCAATGCTGATGTTAATGAAAAGAACAGTAGGAAAAGGTGGCAAAATAATTGATGAAGTAATGAAACTTCAGAAAAAGAGGTGTATGCCCAACCCCCGACTGCCTTGACGAGTGATGATCTGTGGTGTGAAGAGTAGGTTGGAAGAACGCTTGGGGAGGCAAAACCAAAACATGGAACAAATCTATGAAGTCAATGACAAGTGGAATGAATCATGTTAGTAGGTGTAGAGTATTTGGTCAGAGTCCACGAGACAACACTAGCCGATGGTTAGAGACTTTGAATGACATAGCTCAAAATCATTTGCAATGGTGTAGGTGCATCCATTCTTTGGCCTCTGTCATAACCTCATGAGTTCAGGACCTACTCTTGCTTTTTTTTGAATTTAATTCACTGGACTGTACTTTCTGAATAATTTGTTCGAATCCTAACCTTTTCCAGTGTCGCTACTACTTCTATTACCTCTGTAACTATGAAATTTGAATTGAAGATGCGATCTCTGTGCTTATATGGTATGGCACCTTTACTGATGTGAGTACGTACGAAGTTCTAGGATGTAGATAATCCGTTACAGATTCTCACTCCATTATCTCTTGATCTAAATCTTTAATAGCCTAAACGAATCCAGTGACCTGTGGTAAGGACAGGTATTAGTGTTGATTCTGATAAACTATTTACTGTACTCAGGATTTTATCGCACATAACACAAAATCTAACTAGACATAAAATAATAACAACATACCGGAAAACCTCCAAATGAAAAACTGAAAGTACATAACACCGGCGGATTCACATCGAATGTAGCACCAATAAATGAAGTCAATGCCATCGGACCCCAAAAACAAATGAAAAAGAATAGTAGTAATAGACCACCAGTTAATGCTTTTTTACTGGTATCACGATTTTGTCCTCTTGGTGTAGGATAAGCCAGCTCTGAACGTCGCCAACATTTTAGAATGAATATTTTCGAATAAACATCTTCCAATTCCATCCAATGATATAACGATAAAGCACTACTAGTCCACATCCAATCCATTACATTTCGTAGTTCGTACAAGAATGGAAGAAGCAAGTATCTGAGAAGATAAAAAAGAAAGTCAATGTCATGACAGAGAACAAATGAGACAATTAAACAGTGCACCTTAGTAACAACAAAATCAGTAAGTAATATATGAGTGAGAAATTCATTGATCAAATTAAATGATTTAAGAGGCTAAAAATTATTGACCATTTAGGATAGATATTAATTATTTTTTTATCTAAGTAGCTTAATACTACAGTTCAATATAATCGGTCAAAGTAGGATGTGAAAAGGCTACAAACAAAGAGATGGCTTGATGATTAAATAATTTAAATTCGATTTATCTATTTACAGGTCTAAACCCTGCAATGCTTATTTTGACCTGGACAACTGAGTAGGATCTCTAACCTCTAGATATTACATAGTATAGTACTAGTGCGAAATCTATACTTGATTAGTGAGTTTGATTAGAAATATAGACAGTCAGGTGCCAACTTAATAGTCTTAAGAGTAGGTGACCACCATGAAACCTGACAATTCTTAGTTTGATTTTCCGTGAAATTGTAAATAAGTGCTGTTGAAGAGCTTCATACTAAAAAAAACCGTTCAGTACTTTTTTGTTTCCTACTAGTTCTTTAACGCAGGCTAGTTCGTAATGAAAAAAACCTAATTAAATCCTGGAAAAGATGAAGGTATGTTACTCAGTGTTTACAAAAAAAATTTAATCACCAGGAATTGGGCTTACCCTTTAAACAAAACTAAATTGATGTAATTATAGTTTTTAGTCAAAAAGTTTCCTAATATACGTCGAGGATAACCACTGCGAATTTGATAGGCGGACAGAGAAAAATATACACATTTAATCAAATATAACAATTGAGGTGCCAGACCGGAAGTAAATGGGCTAAATGGAATTAAATATTGAAAATGCAATTAACAAAATAAGTTCCTAAGCCAAAAATATTTCTAAAAATTGATTAAAATAAAATAAGAGAATATCAGCAAATCATACACTGTAACAAAAATATAATTTGGCTGTATCAAAATAGGAAAAATGGTGGTCCAGTTTTAGCAGTTACATTGACTGAGATCTTAGGTAGAATCTGGAAACTAGAAGTGGTCCCATTTAACTAGTCACAATCGCTGATCCTTTCAATCTATAAGAAAGTGCAAGAGTCCTATTGTGACAATCATAGAGGAATCAGTCCCACTAATATTGTCAAAGGTATAAGCTTCAATAATACTTACACTCCTAACTGGAGCTCGTGAAGGGCAGACTCGATAAAACCTGGTTGTGGATGTACTGATCAAACATTCACATTTCGGTAAGTCATAAAAACATAGGTATGCTTTTCGACGTCCGAAATAGTTGTATTCTTTGACCCTAGGACGGCGTTCAACTCTGTTATTTGTGAGGTTCTGTAGCAGTGTCTGTCATTGAAAGGTGTACCAAAGAAGTATATTAACATTGAATAAATTTTCCACTAAATCACTGCTAGTCATTTCAGATCTTATAACGAAGTATCATCGGAAACGATTACTTCAAGTGGTGTTCGTCAGGGCTGTCCGCTTTCACTATTCGTATTCAACTTTTAGAGATAACACTTTCGTCGTCTGATTTTTCAGGGGTTAACCTTCAACCAGATTCCCTTGCTGGAAAGTATACTGCAGATCATTTTGATCTGTCCTACTATATAATTATGAAACGTTACCTTGAAAAATCAAGAATAGTTGCAAGTTACCACAATTTGATTAAAGAAGCCTTTAAACCATTGCTCGTGTATGTTGTGACTATAGGGTGAGTAATTTTGGAGTTAGAGGCAGAACAACGGTGAGGATATCATATCTTTTGAAAAAAAAGCGTGAATTTTCAATCAATATCACTGACATTACTACTATGGTTTTGATCTTTATAATTTCATTAAGTTGTAATTTTGTAGTGTCAAAAATCAGATCGATTCCGATACATACCAAGTTCTACGTTAGTTTTTTTCAACAGACTGATCATAAATATCTTCCGTCAATACTAAAAGTTCTCCTTATCATTTTTTAGTGAATATCTTGTAATTAAAAGTTGAAATGCAATAAAACTCTAAACATATCAATTTATCATAATATATGAGGTAATAAAATTATTTAAAATAACTAGGTCAAACAATGTGTTTCATCTTAAAAACAACGTTTAGCACTACAAAATAATTAAAAAAGTGAATATCACAAATTTTAAATAAATTCCTTGTTAAAAACGAAATGGTTTTGGTATGCACTTTTGTTTGTAGCGGTGGTGGTGGTGGTGGTGGTAGGTAGGTAAGTAGGTAGTGTTATGTGTCCTTTTCTACAAGACGTGTTAATAATAGTGAAGCGCTCACTGGACTTCTAAATAACACATTTACCAGCATCTACTGCAATTACATTTATCTGTTACGATGTACTAAAAAAATAATAATTCATAATATCTACCTTTTGTGTAAAGTACAATTTGAAAAAATTCCATATATAAATAACATTATTATTATTATTATTATTTTGAAAACAACTTACGATCTTGTAATATGCGGTAAAATAAAGAACAACCATCCATGAATTAATACAACATGAATAATTTGAAAGATGAATTTCCCAAGCACACGTTTCTGTAAGAATAAACCTCGATCAATGATAATAAATATGAATTGTACAAGAAGCATTGATATAAACGGTAGGGGGATCTATTAAAAACAAAATGAAAAAATAAATAAAGATTAGAAATTTTTAAAAAGGAAACGTAACTATGCATTTGTTTGTACATGAGTAACATTTAAGTGTACGAGTTTTAAAAAAAAAGAATACTTGGATGAAAATCAACTGATCTAAGGATTTGAAGAATGAAATGGCACTAAAGTCAGTGGTAGAACCACGCGATAAATCAGTACAAAAAGAAAAATCGATCAAAAAAAAATGCCAGAATAGTGGAAGTAACCGGATTGTCAGTAGTCTTAATCATCTGTTTTTTTTTCGACTATTTTTCTAGAAAATGTGGACTGTTATCTCGCGACGAGACTGTTGTGTAATATATATTAAGGTCTTGATTGTTGCTTACTGGTTGGTGAGTCATTTGAAAAATATATTTTTGGTTCTACGGGGAATATAGGTGGACTAATCGATTATCAGACAACAGAAAGGGAATGCAATGATCACTGTAATGACTGCTCAATTACACAAGCCTCAATGCAACTCAAGTATGTTTCTCATTTTCATATCGTATCACATTAATAAATCATTGATGTTAAGGATACAATTATTTTTCAAATAGCAACATAAGTTCAATGAAAACTCACTCTATTCGATTTTAGAAATTCAAATGCATTATCACCCATTCCAGTCTGTAAATAAGTATATTTATAAAGAAAAAAAAGGTTAGAGATCATTAACGATAAGAAGTGCATAAAATATGCACAGAATATATCACAGATAAACTTTATTGGAAACAAGAAGTGACATTTTTGAATGATATAGACAAACTGCTTCAAACAGAACGTAGGAGATAATATATCATTAAAGCGTAGATCTAGGTGGCAGAACATTTAAGATTTTTTTTTCAGAAGACTATAAGAGCAGGATATGTATGAGAAGCAACGTATAGTGAATTGTGACGATATATACTCTCCAGTTGATACAAAGTACGTATGCTTTATATCTATTCGACAGTTAGGAAGACATCTAGTGAGTATATCAAGTCACAAGTAAAATATCACACAATAAATAAAATGTAGACATTTGTACAAAACAAAAAGAAAAGAGATACAGATAGATAAAATCGAATAAACTTACACTTGGTCCAAATGATACATAACCAAAGATAATAATCCAAAAAGCGATAAATTCACAAAGAAACATGTAAATATAAACATCAACTTTTTTATTGTATCGTGGATCAGTCATTTTAAGGTAGAATTTTTTGAGTTTTACCAATGGATTCCAATTTATGCCATTACTACCACTAGTTGTAGATGGAAAGTGTGAAGTTTGAGGATATTGTTGAACAAGTATATTATGACCACTGGTATGTAGTACATCATCTTTGCCAAGATCTGATTTTGATTTTGCCAGATAGATACCAGGTGATGCTAATTGTCGTGAACTATAAAAGAAATTTACAAAAAAAGTATTGCAGCTTCATGTAAATGTGATTATTTTTCAGAAAATTAATTCTTACGAAGTATGTTTATTTTATAATTAATTTACAAAAATATACGAAGCTACTAGCATAGAACTACACGGGATTCGGACGTTTACACTAGTGACTGGAATACATTGATTTTACACTTTAGAATCCATTCAATAACGAACCATTTGTCCATCAAAGCAGAAGGCGTATATAGGTCATAGGTTTCTTATAACAAGTACCTTGAAAGCATTCCTAAGGAATGTTGGGACCATCGAGTGAGTAGTTGTGAAGTTAGATGTAGACTGCTACTAGGAGAATAAGGCAATTTAGTTGCCAAGATAGCTGATATTAATAGACTCCCCAAACCACCATCTATTCAGACTTGTCATGTCTGATAGTGTAGGCGTACAGGGATAAATAAATGCATAGTATTAGTCTGACTATTAGTGAAGGTGATGCTGGATACAGACTATCGAGTTGGTGTTCGAGTAATCACCGCAAATAAAAGGGTTGAATGGCATAAGTTCGAACTCATTGTAATCGCGACATGAATTCATTTCATCACATTTAAATGTTCAGCTCAAGAATTCCTTCAGATTTATAGATTCATTAAGTTATCTTAGTAATATCAATGTTTAGTACTTCATATCATGATTGTTAATACAATTATTTCAACTTCTTTCTGTTGGGCACATTACATCCCCAGAACTCGCTTGATAAATGCCTTGATTTTGGATTTTTTGTTTCAAAGCATGGGCTGATCAGTTGACCTTGAGATTTCAATTCCCACCAGGAAAATCCTTGGCTGTGATTGATCGTTGGTTGGTATTCTAGTGAGCTATTTTGTGACTGTTCCAAGGACGTTTCTATGATGTATAAATAAACGCGATTTGTGTACTTGAATTCATTGTGCTTGCTCGTTAGCTGTTTTGAGTCAACGGATCAGGGTAGCCTACCTGGACACTGGTTCCTTATCTTGTTCTCGTTTATCGACTAAGGTGAACCCGTAGTAGTTTCAAGCATACCTAGTGACGATCATAACATTTTCCTACTCACAATGTGAATTTAATTTCACCATGCTCAATGTGCGTATGGCAGCTTGAATGCTACGTTAACTGTGAATGACACTGAATTATCGGTTTACCATATTACTACTATTTTATTTTGTTTGGAATACTGTACTGAACTGAATGATCAATCTATAAGAAAAAACGTAGGATCAAAGGAAAAACAGCATCAAAACGAAACCAGAAATAGAAATATATCATGCAATCGCTTACCTTGACCCTTGCTTTGAATAAGATAACTGCTGATAGGCAGTAATTTTGAATGAAAAACAAAAAACAAGAGGGTAAGAATAAATGAGTGAAAGGAAAATTAATGAAAAAATTGAACTAGTTCATTGAATAGGACATACATTATTCACATATTATAAATTAAGAATTCGGTAAAAACTTTTGTCGATATTAGGAAATTGCTATCTATCGACGAAGGATTATAAATATTTTACTTTGAAATAGTTAATCTAACTTGATAGATTAAGATAATGGAATAATAATAATAAGTGGTCGGATGGTAAGAAATCATCTAAGTTCAGTATGAAGACATTTTATTGGTTTAAAAAGATGTAGCTTGATTGATTGGATCAGCTGATCAACTGAAACGTCACTAAACGTTCAGAACACTGTACATTTCTGTTTCAGCATCAATAAAGTTGATGGTGAATCCTTTCACCCACTCCGCCTTATATTCAAAGATATTGTATATTAGAATTTATACGTTCAAGGAATAGAAAAAACGGATTTGTTGTTAAAAATAATGAATACCCAACATATATTATACTGTACTTAACTTTTGGCAACCACATCGTATACATTAAAATTGAATATTGTCAATGAAAAAGTTGATAATTTAGTATCTAGGACTTTTATAATTGAACCTGATCAATTCGTTGTAACTATCATCAGTGATATTATTTTTTTTTTAGACCTGGAAAGTTTTTCATCAAAATATATATATATATATATATATATATATATATATATATATATATTTATACCTACATTGATATATATAGTCAGGAGAATGAAATAATGATTAGGTCAACAAAATAGGAACACAATTTTTTTTATCTATGAGAATAAAATTGAATAGTTTCATTCAACACTGTTCACAGATGTTAATTAATGGAATTAACACAAGACTAGAATCGATCAGTCATTAACTGGATAGCATTTAATACAATACGTACTATTAACAATAATTTTTTTTTACCTAAATCAATATAATTTTATTGATAATATGAAAACTAACCTAATTTTAGCATTTTTTAAAATATACATTGAAGAGTGAGTGATAAATCAAAATTTTGTATTTTTGAAAGTTGAAAAAAAATTAAAATTAGGAATAGACAAAATCGGTCGATCGATGATTATATGATATACAATGAAGAATACAATGAACGACTTACAGCTGCTTTATTTTCTTGTACAATTAATTCAAGATCACGTGTGAATTCGGTGTCATCACGCCATAGACCATTATTTTTTAAATAACCTCTATGTAAAAATAAACTAATTAACTGTACTAAATCAAATACAGCATAATCATCATTTTTATCGACACCAATGATACGAGGTAACCATAATGGTTCAGTGGATTCAGTTGGTCTTAATGTAGCATCATTGAAATAGAAAAATTTAAATTGAAATATATATTTTATAACAATCACGATCTACAAGGCAAAAAAAGAACACAACGATTAAAGTAAATATATGAAATGAGTTTCAATGGATTAAAGTAATAATAATAATAATAATAATAACGATAAAATGTATTTCACTACAGTGATGAAAAGAAATGGCACGTAACTAGCAGAGGACTTCAGAAAGTCCATTTTATCTTATTTGAGATACGTCAGCTAGATGTACCGGAATCTTAAATTATCAATTCTGCTGCTAGCCATATACATATGTGTCATAATGGCTATGTTGAAGAGGTCCAAATAGGATGCACTTATGTCAATTAAAACTGACCAAAGTTCGATCAGAGCCTCGTTAGTGGAATAATCTAAATCATTACAAACTACGGGGACTGTTTTACAAAAAAAGAAAATTTATTTAGGAACATGAATAAAGCAGTGTGATCTAATGGTTACAGCATTAGGATTGAAGTATTCGGTTGTATATACAGTAGTGCTTGCTTGAATATGGAAGAATAGGATCAGCATTACAAACACGAAGACATAATATCGGTTATGACTGTCCATAAAAATTATCCAATTATGTTATACGATGATAATGATGATAATTATGAAAAGTTAATTTGAGGTGATGATGAACCTCCGTATTTCTGACAACATTTAAGGAAATTCCCTTGTATTTTACGTTAATGCTTGATATAAATTTAACCTATAATGGTTTCTACAATGGTTTGAATTCAAATCGAATCATACGAAAATAGTTTTGATTTAAAATTCATGATAATCCATAACTGACCACATTGCATTCTCTCCAAATCGAAATCTCTATTCAAATCATCAGATTTGTATTCCATTGCTGGCTACCGTTTACCTTTACTATAAAAATTTACCACTAAATAATAATAATGAGGCTATTTGCATAGAAAGCACACATGTAAACAAAGACTAACTAATTAACAATCCTTAAAAATAAAGGGAAAAATAAAATTTTTAAAAGAATAATATTGCAATATTATGAATATAATCAATGTAAGAAACTGCAAATTATCACGACTAGATTAACTAATAAGTATTTAACAAAACATAACTACATATCATACGTCTACAGTTTCATTTAAAAGTTCCTAGTTATTACAGGCAACTACTGCTGCACATCAGGATTGCTTCCTTTTTTTAAATCCATAAAACTCTAATGATGAGTAAGTACAAATCATAAATCTTAATATAAATAATCCAAAGAAGAAAAAAACGGATATTTACCTCAGTGTAAGTAATTAAAAATATCCAAAATGTTTTTGTTGGCCGCGGTACAGACAACATACCCCATAATAATACCATTAAAGGATATGGTAATGATAATAATGAAGCTGAACGCATATGATTAAATATTAAAAGAAAATAACAAAATAATTCTGAATAAACTATGGCTAAATTTCCAACAGCTATTAATAATAAAAATCCATAAGAACGTGATTGACGAAATGCTTTTTCACGTTCATGATCTTGTAATTCAGTGGTTATCGTGTTATTATCGATATTATCGAATGAATTATTTCGTATTAAATAATTTGATATAACACTTGATCGTTTCTCATTATTCAGTAGATTCGAGTCGATAAGTTGAGGATTAAATAAAGATAATTGACGTTCAGGTGTTGTAGAGATAATTTCTAAAACAGCTGCTTCTAGTTGTACTCTATAAATACAATAAACAATAGAAAAAAAATAAGCAGATTGGATGAAAGTATTTCATATAAAAAAAAATTGTATGCGAGTAAAAACAACTGACTAGCTGTTGGGGACGTTAGATCCCCAGAACTCACTTGGAAATATCCTAATTTTGTAATTTTATTCTGGAATTTTAAATTTCCACGTTTTCGCGCCAGAGACGTTTAGATGACCTTCAACTTATACTTCCCCTTTGGAAAATCCTTGACTGGTTGATGCTATTCTGTGGCTCTCCCGAAGGCGTTTCTATCATTGTATAAATAAGCTTGATCTGTGTGCTTAGAAACCTCGTATTTTCTGGGTGCTTGTAGAATAAATTCTCTACACCTTATCAAGACTTCTTGATCTAGTTAGCAGGGCCTGAGACAAATGGAATAGAATAGCCTATCGTGTCAGTGAATCGTTGATCTTCGTTTCGCTTACCGAGCATATCACTAACTAACGAACAGATTTTAAAAACGGGAAAAATAAACTCGACACAATTTGAAATGGATGAAGACACCTACTGGTTGTTGAACAATTCATAACACAAACAAATTAGATAACTAAATAATGAATTACAAAATTTTTTATCAATTGTCTCTGAACAAATCGAACTCATTAATTTTCTAATTTAATTATAACACCATTGTCGGGTTGTAATAGTTGGAAAACAATGTGTAGTCGATGTAGTTTGTTATTGTAAGGATAAGTATGAAGCATCATCATAGTAGTTATGAAGTCAACTAATACGCATCAATTCAAGAATAACTTCCTGCGATATGGCAGAAAAAGAAAACTAGAACTCAGGAGAACGCTCGATATCTACAAGAGTCAAAACTTGAAATAAGTAAGTCAGTTTACACAGTGACAGCAGATCTCGAGGCAAAACAAAAACAGCAAACTAAAATCAAAAGTCAATGAAGAATTACAAGTAGGATGAAAATTTTTGGCGACTTCCATGAACATAATAGCCACCATTTTTAGATAAAAAGAGGTAGATAATCTGAGGTCTTCTAAGAACCAAGATCAAGCATTTAACTATTAAATAATAAGAAAAATTACGTCAAAATTTTACAGGTTACTAGTGTCATTATGAAATATTTTAATCAAAACTCCCTACCTTGATTGTTCATTTGAGGATGGAAGACTTGAAATTACTCGACGTTTAACTAAACGTTTTTCTTGGTCAATAGTTCTGCGAATACGACGATATTGACGAGTGAGACCATTTAAAAATCTTATTAAACTATCCACAGAACTCAAGAAAAACATATATGCTATTAAACAAGAAGCTTTAAACTTGCTCCAGCAACTTTCAGCATCTGAAAAGAATACAGAAAAAAAAGATATATAACTATAAAGAATAGATGTGATTAAGAATAAGCAAAGATAGTAAGAGTTTATACGACATTCAATAGATAACAACACCTTGTTAATAAAGAGACGATAACGCGAAATTGATGAATAACACAAGTGTAATACTTATGAATGAGTTGAAATTCAAAATTATAAGACGTTTTTGCAAGAGTTGTAGGTCGAGAAAAAAGATTAATACATAAAATATTATGGTTTATTCCAGAAACATAGATTATGAGAAAATGTAGGGTGAGTTGTTCGAAGAGGTAAAAAAACAAATTAAAATATCTTCAATACAAGAAGTAGTTAATGTGAATACATTACTACTAGTCGCCTATAGTGACTTGGTATAAACAATGGACTTTCACAACTTATAAAAATGATACAAATTTTGAGCACATAGCAGCAAACGAAGCTAGGTAGTCAGTCACTTGTGAGTTTGTAAAAGAATACGATATTCGCCTAAAAATGTATTACAATACGTATTAAAACGTTAACCTATTTTATGAATCCCAAAAAATGAAAACGTTGGAAAATAAATCAAAAATTTCAACAAAAATGTGTAATGCATTTTCTGTAATAAAATCAAAAAAGAAAAACTGAAAAGTAAACAATACTTACGTTGATGAACAGAATGTCTGCGTAATTTATCTTGAGAACTAGCATGACAATTGTCATTGAGATCAGATGAGAAATTATTAGCAATAAATTTACATGATGCATTGGTAGTTGGAATTGGTTTTTTTAATACAGCTATTTGATTATTATCAAAATTTTTCTTATTCATCATAACATACGATGAAGTATCATGATTAGATTGATTTAAAATTAGATTATTCAATTCTATATCTTCAGTTTGTTTTGCGACTAATGGAATATAATCTGATTTGCCTTTCAAATTATATTTATTTCGTTCTTTGTTTATGACTTTCGAGTCGACTAAATCATTTTCAGGAAATGATGAATTCAATCTACCATCTTTAGTTTTTATAGGTACATATTCAGAGATTGATAGTTGTGTATCATAATTATCCGAAGGATCAAAATTACAATATTCATTAAGATTTGCTTCGTTGTCAATCAATGGAGAATAGTTTTTCTTATATAATCTATTGGAAAAATGAACTTCAGGTTGTCTTGAACTAGAATAAAAATCAGGTATACTAAGTTTCTTTAGGCCAGATTTTGTTGGGAAGCGACTAGCTCGTTTACGTTCTTTAGATTGATTGGAAAAATTTGTATCTTTAAGTGAACGATTGTGAAAAGAATCGGTATTGATCTGATGCATACTGGTTGACTGTAAGAAAATCAGAGTTATTAAGTGAATTTTATGCATAAAAATTAGTGTTAAAAAAAGTTACAGATTACGCTTAAACATCCATACACTTGAAATGATTAAAACTATTTAAAACTTAGCAAATCAGTAATACTGTTATGAGTTGCTTTGATAAAATCAATTTAAACGAAAAATGAATCAATATTTTGTTTTCAACAAAAAAACGTTTGCTTTTAGGAGAATACAAAGTCAAGTAAACACGTACAGTTAAGTACTGAAATGTTTACTTATTTCATAATTCAAATAGAGATCACATCTGAAGCACTATTCTTACGTGTCTGTCTCTTTTTGTATTGAAGTTTATTAATTTCAATATGTCGAAAATCATATCCGCCAATGGCTGGAATTATTGATGAAAATTTTAGGGTATGAGTAAAAAGATTTAATGGTAATTGAATCGTTAGCTTGTGCTCGGTATAGCGGATTTGTAGAGAATGTGGCATTTTTTACAGCTTCAGGCAATCGATGAAAGGCTGATTAAGATCATGGATTGATAGTTAGACATTAATATCATTAGATGCCGGCTTAGTGGTGTAAAGGTTAGGTGTTTGCGCGCGAGATCAAAGGTTCTGGCATTGATTGGAAGGTACAAGGTCGTACATGCAGACTGCTGAGCAGTCCCACACTAGGGCTAACAGGGCATTCAGTGCTTCGAGGTTTTTAATGGTGGTTTAGCTAACATCTATTTGTGACTTTAACTTGTACTTCTAAATGTATGCTTATGCAATCAAGAACACAATTTTTATTCACTAAAAATTCGCTAACTGGGGTGTAGATTGAGCATTGTTGTAATCTGATTAGTTTAAATTACACTAGCACTAATAGTGTTGAATGTCAAAATTCATGCTTTCAACGGGTCAAACAGGTTCGTCGTCGTGAAATATTACATCGATTATATTTGAACAACTAGTTAATGACAAATAAGATGAAAAATCGCATCAATTTTCTTTTTAATAATCACGTAGAAACACAATTCAGTAATGATCGTGATAATAGAAAAATCTGTAGAAATTATGCAAAAAATAATTTCGCTTTCAATAGAGATACTGTGTATGTCATCGAAAATAAACTTGAAAAATTGATAACTATTTATCGATAGTTGCACATATTTAGGATTACAATAGTGTCATTTGTGTTTAAACATGAGTAAAACACTGTGGTAAGTCAATATAACCGGTTTATTGAATTAAAAATAAAATGTGAATTTAACATTGCTGAATAATCAATATAGTTTATACTTTCTTAAGTGAAGAATAATTTAGTAGAAAGAAGCAAAAAACCATTTAGAATTTATTTTTCCAAATAGTAATGTATTGTTGAATAGAGGTGCTTGTGTCGCCTAAGAAAGATGTTAGAGATAACCAAAATATCGTCTTTCCAAAGATCATAGTCGGCAGCTACATAGAGTTCTTGATTAATTTCAGTGTTATCAATATTAAAATTGTTTTTCAGAGATAAATTGTCTATAAAAAACAGCCCATAACGAAAGAAGTTTGTATGCTATGCGGCAGTTAACAACCAAGTGATAAATGTTGTAACAATAGCTAGTGAAAAATGCGACACAAAAATTCATTAAGCCAAAAACCTATGTTTGATTATGACTAGTGTCAATTCTCTGTGCCCTTGAGACTATTATATAATAGAATAAAAGTTATATTTACTTCATATATTTACTTCATTATATTTACTTCGTGTCAATCAATAGCTGCACACGGCAACAGTATAATGCAAAACTGTGAACTAGATGAATTTAATTTAATTAACAAGCGTATTGAAAATACGCAGTAAAACAAATTTAGTGTCTTGATTTCTTAGTGAGTTTCATATTCATTGAATTGTTAATCAAATCCTATATCCATGATGAGGTCAATTGTATGTACCTAATTCCAATATACTTTTGTTTATAAGGTTTTCCAAGCCTCCATTTGCATGCACTATGACTATAGTATTAATTAATATGATAATGATTATTGATAAAGCATGAAAATGTATAACTGATATAGAAACGGTTTATTTAGTCAATGAAGTTAACCAGGTTTGATGAGAATCTAATCGGGTGTTAGTTTAGTCAAATTCATCTGTACAAATATTGTTTATTATTATCATGATCATATTTCCCTAAATAGTTATCAATTTTTCATACGATAACTCTAATGATAATTGATACTTAGTAATTTTTAATGTGAAAGGCTGTGGCTGACATTCTAAGGTCAAAAATCATTTAAAGCAATACTGATTGAATCAATGCAGTTTAGAATCATTGATCAAGAGTATAATGATTAATTCATGTGTAATCGGAAATCGACATATACTATTAAGAGGAAAAATATTCATTGATAGTAAATGTATAAATGAATAAGCTTTAACATCAAATATATACATGAGACTTAAATGACATAGCTGAAAGCAGTATTTTATTATTCACACATGAATGATTTAGAGTTTTGTTAATATTGTACATTTTTTATGCATGAAATGTAACAATTCCATGCTCCAGGTAAACATTATTTTTATTTGTAGTTTTATGTTAAACAAAAATGATGAATATGTGCCAAAAATCATATCCAAATGATAATAAGTGCAATTAAAAATTGTGATAACCTCATTATTTTTTTTAATGATTTTCTCATTTAAATCAAGCAGGAAGAATATTTGCAGTTGATTGGAATACGTTAGACCATTTGTAGACCATATTATTATCCTTGCGTCACAAGATCAAGACAACTTGTGGATTCGCTGGCGTCAATAAATCCTTCAGGATACAATAATATACAAGTAATCAACAACTTAGATCCATCAATAAGGATTGGCAGTACATGCAGCTAGTTATAGATAAATTACTCACGTTCGAAGTTTTGAGGAAAAGTAAATAGTGAGGGAATTATTTCATTTTATATCGCTTCTGTTAATGCTATTCGTAGGACTAGGATCGATAAATTTCTATCATCGGTGAGAAGTTAGATATTTTATCGATTATTCGGTGGGATAAAACAAGAACAGTAGTTACACACAGGGAATAATGTAGGCACGAAAAATGCTTGGCGTATGGGACAGAATTTTCGAATCAGTTTCAAAAAAGGATGGATAAAAATCATAGCTCAGATGGATGCTTTTAGAGGGCTTGAGTTCTTTATTTATACATGAAGAAGCGTTCAATGTATTACCCGGATGACAATGGAAGCTGCACAATTAAAGGTCAAAGAACTCAACACCACTATAAGTGTTTGAAATTTATCGGACGACTAAGCAAGTCATTTATATTAGTTATATCATCGTGTAGAACTTATTTCAATGAAAAATACATCAAACAATAACAAATGTATAAAGTACATAGTAACTGTTTCAAAACAAAACGTTTAACTTACAGGTTGCATCATTTGATCAGCCGATGAACCATCGTGACTTTCAGTAGATAAATGACATGGAACATTATCAGTCTGTTCCCGCTGACGCGTACCACCATGAGAGTGAGCATGTAAACTACGTCTATACTGTTTCACAGCTGAAAGAGCACCAAGTTCCATAGCTCTGTTCAATAGTTGAATAGGATTTAATCTACAATTTGAAGTTGATGGAGGATTAGCATCATCATCTTCATCACTATCCCTATCTGCTTCTTGACCATCGTCGAAATATGAATAACTGAAATTCTTTTGACTGTTGTTATTTTGAAACTCAGATTTTGGGGATTTAGTGATTATGTTATCGGAATGAGTCGCTGTAAAAGGAGCATCTACTTTTTCAGATCTACTGTTATCTATTACTGTTGGAATGATTTCAGAGTTTTCCTCATTATTATTATTTCCCGGCGTTATCTTACTTTCAATAATGGGGTGCTGAATATGAGAAGTCTCATAGGTCTACAACAAAAACAGTGAATGTATAGATAAATTAAACAGAACTCAATTGACGAATGATGGTGAATCTCGTAAGTAAATGAACATGAAAGTGGAAGGATAACAAATCTGGCACAAATTCAAATCAACAGAAGAAACAACAACATACTAAATGCGTTGTTATGACAAAGAGCTATTTGTCTTGTGCATTTGTAAATATGAACATTAATGTTTCATACTTGTTTGATAGCTAATTAGAAATAAAAACTCAATTCAACGAGACATAGAATTCCTTACAACTACTTACACTTGAAAACTGTAAGTCATAATTCAGTGGAAATAGCAAAATAGACATAAACCATAAAAGTACAATACTATTTAAGGGTATAAATGAAAACCTACTCCTTACCTTAAAGCATATGACTCAACTTTCTCATCAATTCACTCTATGTCCTCATTAATTTTACAATATTTCTATGATTTATAACTACTATTAGTACTTTCAAAATGAGTGCAACAATGGACCACTGTCAAGATAGATATTCAGTCTAAATCACGAAGTAACAGAAAACGATTTCAATGTATTTTAGAACCCATTCCCCAAGATTTCGGATACTTAATGCAATACAAGTCTTAAATGATAGGCCTTTCAAAAAACTTATTTCATTCGATTTTTGTTGCACTTCCGCAATTGTAGTTCATGATATAAAGTAACCAATGTTATCGGTATATATTCGTTCCAACTTAGTGACAGAATAATAGTAACATATAACTACTCAATATCAAAGTATGAAAACACAAATGGATGCACTCATAACAAATGCCTCCTGATGTAAGAGAATATAATGAAACTCCAGATCTCTAGAAATGACAATGGAAGCATCTATACGTACTTTAGCACTTGGTTTTGATAGCGATGACTTTGTTTTCCGATGACCTCGGGTCGTATTTTGGATAACCGTGTTCTTCTCAGGACTACTAGGACGATCTTTATTGGCAAAGATAGCTTCAGATGCTGAAAATAACCGTCTATGGGTTTCGTAAGGGCGATGGCGAACAGCGAACGAATTCAGATCTCGACGTTCTGTGGACCGAAGAGCAGATTTGTCAGAAAACGGCGACGATGTTTGAGTAGAACGTAAAGCGATACTTTTACTACCTGAAGCCTCAGGTTCATCTGGTTTTATAGATACGGCGGAACTTTTTTCGTTGACACCAAACTGTTGACGTAGAAACTCAGGGTGAGATCGCATACGACGATGTCCTAAGACAAATCCAGAATGGGTACGATCTTGATGTGTGTCAATACGCTTAGGATGTTCATGAGAGCGATCTGAGTCAATAGCACTCCTACTATTAGACGTTGGGCGAATGTGACGGCGTTCATTTCTAAAACCAAAGTAATAACAGTCAGCAGAATTTCTAGAGTAAAGTGTGTTCAGATAGATTAATGAAAATATAATAGGGGTTGAATTATAGGTGAAAATCAGTCAGTCAGTTACAAGGCAGAACTTCGTACATACGCACATCAGTTCAAGTTGCCATACTACATTAGAACAGAGACGCAATGGTCACTTCAAATACCAGTAGTATAGGTAGTAGAAGTATAAGCAGAAACATGAGATTAGTGTTCGACGATATTACTCAGGAAGTATAATCTAACGAAATAAACTTAAAAAGATGAAGGTGATGAGGAACTCTGAAGGTTAGGATTTCAGAGAACACAAAGAATGAATGCACCATTGCAAACATTTTTAAGCCATGTTATTCAAGGTCTCTAACCATCAATTACTACCATCTCTAGAATCCCAAACAGGTAGTCTACACTCACCAATATGATTCTGTCCACTTGTTAGTGATTTAATGGATTTATGCCATGTTTTGGTCTGGCCGCTCCTAGCTTCCTTCCGACTTACTCATGCACCACAAAACAGCTAGTTGAGGCAGTCAGTCGTTGGGCATTCGTAACACATGTCCCAACCACCTCAACTGATGAAGTTTCAATACTTCATCTATTGATTTATCGTCTTTACTTAGTACTCGTTTACCAACGACAGCATTGCTTATACGGTTGTCCCAGGATACACGAGCAATGCTTCGGAGAAACCTATGATCGAAAACCAGTAACCTACGAATATCTTCAACTCGCTTACAACATAAGTGACGTAGGTCGGCAAGAGCCACTTGAGCCTTCTGTATCCGTGCCGAGATTTTGTCAGACACCAGGTTATCAGCGCTGACGAGACTCCCAAGATAAGTGAAGCGGTCGACACGCTTAACCGCTTCACTCCCCATCACTAATTCAGCAGGTGAAAATAATTATTCATATAAAATTGCCGAAATCCTGATCTTGTCTACAAACTACTGTTTTAGTTAGTGAGTGTTGTTTAATTTTAAAAAATGGATGGGTAACTATAGATCCTAAGCGAAGACACATTAGTTATCCAAAAAGTTTATCATTGTCATTAACTAGGATAAAAAATTACTGGAACTACTGAACTTCACTGAATAATACTCAGAAAAAATAAGTAGTTAAACAATAGGTTGAACACTGACTGAACATTTAAAAAAAAACTGGTGGACATTTTTGCATCGATTATAAGATGATAGTAATGATTGAAATTGATAAACAAGTTGACGTATTGTTAGTGGCTAACAAAATAATAAAATTTTCCGTTAATTAACAAAGCAACAAATGAAATTAATTGCCAGTAGACGATATGCTTGTAATATTTCACTGATAACTGTGGTATGCGCAATAATAAACGAGATTTCTAGCGAAAATACACAATGAGAAAATAACTTAATTTGTAAAGTGATTAATGTTTCTAAAAAACCAAAACTATGGTGAGAAATAAATGTTTAAAGATTCCCATTGTTGTTCTAAATAAATGTTTCTTATTAAGACACACATAAAACCCTGTCTCCAAGCTAACAAAAAAAGATGGTCAACTGAATAATTAGTTTGAAGCGTATCTTTTAAAATACAACTTCATAAAGTCACTGGCAATACAAATACTGAAAATTAGATGTACATAACAAAGTTTCCCAAACTTAAGAGAGCTATGGAATACAATGCAAGATTTTAAAACTCGGTAACGTTGAACAAATAACTTTAAGATGTTTACTTTTTGGAGAAAAAAAGCCTATATCAAATAATGGAATAAAGCAATAAATAACAGGCTAACCTGATGGTACTATAAGGATCATTGTAATTAGACAGGATATTTAAGATATTTGGATCAATACTTGGCCAAATATCTCGTAAATAATTCTTTCCATTTCGAACTAAAGTAACTTGAGATTTAATACGACTATTTGGAACAGTGGCTTGTCTATCAATCTCTTGGCTGGCAGCTGTTTTCCGTAATTTTAAACTCTCTTTATTGTCTCGTGAGCGTAACACCGATGGGGGTGGACTTGAATCGTATTTCGCCGAGTGATCACTATCATGTTCACCTATAGGCGTTTGACGATTAACGAAGTCATCATCCTCTTCGGGATCACCTTCAAATAGGTAATAATCACCAGACCGAAGCACTAGAATAAAAACAATAACGAAACCGTATTGAGGAAAACTATGTAACATATAGAAATAGTTGCATTATCGTAAAAAAGTATCAATGGTAACAGCTGAATTCATAAATTAATAAATACAAATAATTACTGGAATCATGAATGAATCCTTGTTAAACCACCATTAGAATCCTGGAAGCACTGGACGGCCGTTTCATCCTGGTTTGGGACTCATCAACAGTGCACATCCAGGACTCCTGCTACTCGCAGGATTCGAACCCAACACCCTTGGTCTAGCACGCGAACGCCTAACCTCTGCTCACTAGTGCCTAGTTCCGTAAGGAAATTCTTTAAGTGAGAACACGTGACAAGTGAAGTTGAACCCTGTCGGGTGTAGGCAGTAAATACCGGAGACAAACAGGTGAAGTCACACAAAATCCCTAGATTGACCAAAGTTGGACATTACCACTGTTGGATGCTGACCTAGTGGTCCAGAGGTTAGACGTTTGAGCAAGACTGAAGGTCCCAGGTTCGGATCCTGAGAGTAGCAGGAGTCATGGATGTGCACTGTTGATGAGTCCTATACCAGGACGAAACGGCCGTCCAGTGCTTCCAGGTATCTAATGGTGGTCTAACAATGATCGATTCATGATTTCAAAAAGTAACTCAATAATCTCCATAACTAAATGAAAAATACAAATAAGTAATACATAACAGGTGGATTATAGTCTCACTTAATTATGGTGAACAACAATGTAATACAATACATCTATCATAGTTACACTTATTGTTACTTACACATCTAACTTTTAAATGAACATATAGTGCATGCAAAGAACAACTTTACATTGAATTTGAACATAAAACAAAAATTAAACAAATAAACTAGAACAATTATGAATATGAGAAACAAAGACAATGTTATAAGATTATTCATTGCATAGTAAGAAGTATCGATACCTAAAAAAATGATCTATTTTATGTTAAAATCTTATAAATACAATAGTTACAAAGGTGAAACAATCTTACTTATATAATGTTCAGTAATATTAGCATTACTACGTCCAAATGCTGCTTGACGTTGTTGAATAAGATTGAGTTTTTGTTGTACTTTGGCTAAAGTATGTTGTTCTTCCATTGCTTGTTCATGAATAGCTAACATTAATTTACGATTGATTAGGTAAGCACCACTAAAACATAAAAACATCAAAGAAATTAAAAATACTAGGCAGAAGAGGAGTAAAATCAGCATAAAAATAAGAAACATCATAATAATATTAATCTCGAATACGGAGAAAAAAAAGCACATTTAATTAAGAGAATCTAAAATGATATTCATGCCTATTGATAATTATTTCAATCTTAATTAGTATAAGTCTTCCTCTTTCATGAATTAAGCTCCACTGACTAATAAAGCGTAGGAATTTACTATAACACTATGTGTTTCAGCAGTAATAAATTTATCAATTCATGCAATGAAACGATTGATATCGTTTACTACGTACTCAGATGTGAGAAGTTATGATGCACAATTTGAATCTAGCTGATATGGAGTTGGAACTGGAGAAGTATTATCAGTGGAATGCTAATCAATAAATATACTAAAGAGTGTGGAACAGAGAAAAAACAACAACAACAACACTAAAACTTACCGGGAAGCAAATCGACTTTGAACTTGTAAATCAAGTAATACATGACTAAAACTATGTGATGTGAACACTTTTCGTTGGAATAAAATAAATATAAAGCATACAATATCCCAATGTAAACCACTTGACACAGTAGCACATGATGTTTCATGTCCAGCTAATGAGATAATATGTTTTTTTAAAAAAAAAATGAACAGATAATGATAATAGCATATCAAAGACAGAATTATATATATATATATATATATATATATATATATATATATATATATATATATATATATATATATATATATATATATATATGATACAAGTGAAACCTTCAAGTACAACGCATATGGCTTTGTTACGCAACATCTTATTAAATAATTTCACTTTATAATTAACAGATAAGGATACTAATTTAATTTCACCAAACAAAGTAGGCTAGAAAGATATTGAACAGGAAATTTATCGACTTGTATCAAAGTATTCAATATTCAGCTTTTCAGTAAAAACTATGAGGCTTAAATGTAGATTTATCGATATTGATTAACTACTCATTGGAGATGTGATGTAAACACTTCATTGGTAAGACGTATTTTAAAAACATACATGTGGTCGTTAATTACGTAGTACACTTTTTATAGTCAGGTTTTAATTTATTCGCAATTATAGAACATGTAATTTTAATACTAAAGAAGAAACTTTATGTTATAGGATTGATAAAATCATGAAGAAAAAGATCCCATTGATGACTGAAAAGAAAATATGCATATTATATCTTTAGAAAAATAAAACCAAATCATAATTCAACGATCTCAAGAAAAATCATTTTACAAAATGCAAACAGATCTATGTGATGACATATGTCCTAACAGTTAGCAGTGTATACCATAGACTATTGAACTATTTTGACTATTTTATTTTTCATGAATGTATATTGTAATTGTTTTAAGTTAAAATACAAAAGTTGTTTGTATAATTAATCACATACGAGGTAGATTGAAATGATTCCATGATAATGGGTTCATGCATTGAACACCGAACAACTGTATAAGCCAACAATGATTAGCCATTCGAGAACGAAAAACACAACCCATAAGTTGAAGACTACACTTGGCCAGAATAACACAGAAATTATACCCAATAATTACATTCCATCTATAAAAGAAATCATAAATTAGAGTTTGCTATAGATCATTAGTTACATTTAACCTTAGACAAATATATATATAGATAACTAATAATTATTAGCACTAGTATAACTTCTTTTCTTCTAATCCATTTTATATAGCTGTTTTTAATTCAAGGTTGGCAAAATCATTCTGACAAGTGATACTCTCTGAGGGGTTTAAATGTAGATTAACCAGCATGTCACAATTACACTTTATTTCAGTGCAAAAAGAAGGAATCAACTGGAGGAAGAACAATATAGCGCAAAAATAAGGATAATATCAATAGTAATACAGGAATAAGGGGAAAAAATCAGTCAGTCAGCTGAAACATAGAACTTTGCACGTAAAAACATCAATTTAAGTTGCGATATCCCATTAACAAAGAGATGAAATTGTTAGGTCGAATCCTAGAGTGGTAGAAATAGTAACAGCACTGGTGATAAAGGAAAAGATTGAGGACAGAAGATACGACTCAAGAAAATACAAATTAGAGTAATATGTCAATGCCAATGCAATGGATTTTGAGTCATATTACATAAGGCATCATTAGTTATGGATTAGTTCCACAGATCCTTACCAAAGAATCTACATTTCCACATATGGCTTCAATAGAAACTCAATGATCTAACATGCTGATAATATCTAATAGCCAGACTTCTAGAATAACTAACAGAAACCAAAGTATTATGTCTGACAAGTAGGATATGCTTAATTTTTAAAAAGGAAGTCTTAACGCTCTCTTTAACTACAAATAATGTTAGTACAATTAAATAACTGTTTCAGCCTGAATGTTCAATTAACATTAAGTGGTGCAAAGAATCCGAAACACCTAATTTGAAATCATTATCAATACACTAAACACGCAATTCAGATAGTGTCTAATCCATAAAACAATTAAAAACTTGATCATATCTGAAGTACAAGAAAATTAACAGGAATTATAAAAAAAACGAATATATATATGACACAAAAGCATATCACAAAAAAGGAAAATACTCACGAATTGACTAAATTAGGTCGTTCTCTTAGCAAAACATTCAATCCCATCCACAGATAGATGAAGCTTAAAATCATATAACCTAAGCAGAATAATGTAATCCATACAACTCCTGTGACAAGAACAACAGCTAAACTGACCCAATAAGACCAATAGAAAATAAGATGACGCATATAATCTAAATAAGATCTGTTGAATTAAAAAAAAACACAAGAATTAAGATAATAATCATACTTTACTGGCAAGTAGATAATAAGTAAATAAATTTATGGGAAATATTTCAAACAAAAATAGTAAATTGAATAATTTAAAGAATCAACAATCATATTGAGATCATTGTAAGATAACAATGTGACATAACAGATATTGGATCGAAAGAAGAATAGATAACAAACGAAAAATACGACGAAAGAAAATATATAGGAATATCAGGTAATTAATTAATCAATTCGTTAATTGACAAATTAAATTTTATTCAAACACACACATACACACACACACACGCTGTGGCCAATAACTACTTGGATGTTGAATTGAAGTTGTCTTCAGTGTTTTTTCTTTTCAATTATTCACTGATGATTGTATTACAGCATTTCAAAAAAAGCCTAATAAATAAAATTGAAGCATACATAACCTAACACTCTCTTACATATACACATACTTTCTTGTAAAAATGATAATATATTAAGAAGAAAAAAACGTCAAATTGCTGTGTACAACAAACTGTATGTGTGCAATAAACTTATGGAGGCCTTTCTGTGGATTATACGATTAAATGAAATGGATCCACACGGTTTAGGATATTTCATTTAAAGGAACAATAAGATAATCAAAAGTTTACACAGTCAGCTTTGGATATGTTCACCATGTTACGGTGTGCAAAATTATACACATGCATCACTATTATTATCATTATTGTTATTATTATTATTATTATTATTATTATTATTATTATTATTATTATTATTATTAGGAATTATAACGACCAAATTAATCGAACAATAAGAAACATCTCATCACCGTACTGTTAAATTAGTTGTTTGGTTACATAACATTTAATATACTATACGATTAACATTGGTTCGTTCATGTTGATGATACAACTACAGAATATTAAATCAATTATTCAGTCCTTTAAGCATTTTATATTCATTTTGTATTATACATATATTCGACTATTTACTTCATTCATCAGACCAAAAAGTTCAATAAATATGAACGCGAATGAATAAATAAAACCTGAATTCTGAATCAATTCATACAAGTGTCAATTAAATACCTACACATAAATAAACTTAATGAATAGTTTTATATGAGTAAAACTTTTTTCTACAAATACAAAATGACAATCCAATATAGTTTTAGTTATTGGTTAACAAGTATTACATTTTCAATACACATAATAAGCAATTCATTATTGTTTACTGTAACGAAAACAAAAATTTAAAAGATCATTTAATGATTACTAGGAAAATTTAAGATTTATAAAAGTATCCAATGGTTATTTTTGCATCTATTTTCTGTAGTATTAACAATTTCTTTGACAATATAACTACACTACAACTTTGTAACTGCTTGCTGACAAAACGTGAAAAACTATGATATGTGAAAGTGAATAATTAATTCAATACAATAACCGTAACTCACTCTTTAGTGCTGACGAAGTCACGATCTCCTTCATTAGGTAATTCATTAGTTAGGACTGGACGGTTCGAACCACCATCATATCTCTCTGAATCAGGACGTTGTTCGATTTTGAAAACACGATATTGTAAAGCCACTGCAGCGAACTGAAAGAAGTCCGCTAATAGAACATAAAAAAATTCAAACAAATGTATTAAATATTATAAGAACGGTTCACTGATCAAATTGATATAGAATAAATGGAAAGTGTCTAGCAATGGAATACAAGATGTGTGTTTTGTTCAATTTATGACTCGTCAGCCAAATGTACCAGCCACTCAAAGTTGACATTTACTCTGGAAATCAAAACCACTATTTAATATTTAAGATGTGTTAACATCAGCTAACTAAAAACTAAAGATAAGAGAGGGATAATGTTGATTATCTATTAGTTAATTAGTATTTTAAGTCTAACTGAGGCATGATGAATTTCGTGATACCACCACATTCAAAAAATGCTTTGAAGGAACGTGTAATCAAAGGATAGCTCGGATGTCATCAACCTATAAAAACCGTGTTTAAAAACAGCGAAGTAAAAAGAACTTCCGTGCAGTACACAAATCCTTGGATAATTAAAAGAACACTTTGTATGTAAGTTGAGAAAAGTCAAACGAGTCGTTTGTGCCTATACCGACATCTTTTCATTTACAGACTTAAAAAAGCTGACTAGATTTCAGAGATGCATTAGTCAATTGATGTGCTCAAAAGCATTATGTTTTATGGTTAGACAAAGCATTCCTTAAGACAAGTCCTGAAGTACTATTATACAATTCGAAGGTAAAAAAAGACATACTAAAACTTTATTATTGTCGTTCAAGACGTTTTCACCAAACCGTATTACATTGTTTTTGCAACACTATTCCAGATTACAAATCACTCAGTGAAACATGAAGTGAATTACATAGATTACGCAGGAAATCGGACAAGGGCATTGAGGAATCTAAACTTAAAACCTGCCCTAAGTCAACCTTCCCATCCAACAACACAAATAAAACAAAAAATTCAAACTTGGCTTACGAAACGTCTTGGGATAATCGCAAGACTGGAATAAACATTAAATAGTGGACTAATTAAATGAACGGAAGTATCATATAACAGTACTAACATAAAGCCATTTTCTATCTACTTAATTTAAAACAACACAATATACAACTGTAACCTCGATCTTAATGGCAATAAAAACAACCTAAAAATCATGTACACTTTCAAGAAAAAGGAAGCCAAGTGAAACACTTTGATAAATGCCGACCACGCTAAAAGATCAAACGGACTTCCAAATCGGTGACTTCCATACAAGTTGATTCGCTAGTGCAAACAGACAATACTAAGACAATGATCAGTAAAAAACGGTGTAACAAACGGTAATCCGCGCTGAGAACACAATCATTGGAGATGTAAGGTCCTTCAACAATTGGGGATCCATAATCCGAACAGAATGATACAGATGATGCAATCAACCAAAATATTTCTAAAGATTGTCACACAATAATCAAAATCTGACAACCCTCGAGACTAAACCACATCCGTCTACTAACTGAGAGCTGATAAAATTTACCATAATCCAGAATTTAATCTACGATCTAAAAACTAGAGTATTAAGAACGACTGAACGAAATCAGAAGCTGTCTTCGGTGCAGCAAGATGAACGATTCTCGGAATAAACAGTCAAAAGGATTTAATAGTGAGGGAATTGAAAGATAAGATTAATCTCTCAAACATGGCCATCGAATTCCAAGAAAATCGACTAAACATCCGGTACACTGCTAACGACTCGACACAGAGTACAAATCAAGAATGGTTGATCAAAGGACACAAATACACCTTTGCATGATCATAAATTGTAATCGAATGTTTGCAACAAACGATCACTCTATAACCCCAGATTTCCATAGAAACAGAACCATACAAGTGTCCAATGGCAAACTGTTCAAAATAATACAAAACAACATGGTAGCTAAACAGATTCATTGGACCTCCGTACCGACAGCAACAACTGGAACAAAAAAACCAACAGCCTACATAACTGCCTACACATAAGATATACAAAACTTTTACTGACAAAAAAGATATAATAAACCACTGTTACTTAATAAATAGGTGATCGGGAATAACTGTACAAGAAGTAAGACCAACAAAACTAAAACCTCTGTTGCATCCCGGTGGTTGTACGGTGGTTCATGGAGTATCTCTAGAAAAACCAATCACTAGCCTTAATGGCTGGAAGAGACACCACCGAAAACACAACCATTACCATATGTGGGAATGATAAGTAGAACGCACTGACAGACAAGACTTAATATGATAGCACACCCTTACAAGGCCTACTTTGGTTAAATAAACGATATCCAACAGTTTTGACATACTCCTTAAGTGAATCTTTTAAAAGTAGACTGTCTCAAAGTCACTAGTTTTCAACCTACAAAATTCAGCATATTATGTCGGTTGTTTTGTAGTCTCTCTTTCTATGGACTGAATAAATAATGAACAAATTAGTAAACCCTACAGTAAAAATATATCATCTGACACACATTCCAAATAAGATAAATAATATATATGCATAAGAAAAATTGTTGTTTGAATATAATTAAATGCATACCAGTCAGTTTATAAGCAGACGGTGAACCAAAGTCACTCGGTAAATACAACCATTGAAGAAGATTGTTAATCTCTATCGATTCTGTATGCCAAGGATAACCTGATAAAGTACAGAGAAGCATTGAAAATTCGATACACGAAATTAAATTGTAAGGAACCATCAATTTACTTATTATGCCTAGATTGGCGAAATCTAATCAATATACCAATATGACTTGGTAAATCCAATTAAATACGTATATTTTCCTGCTTTTGAAATTAAGAAATGCAGTCTATATTGACACGCATCCATTCTGAGCTGATTGCCTCAATAGTACCTTTAGTAATCCGTCCCAATAAAGTTGGTTTGTAGGAGCAAGAAATGAAATAGAGAACTTGTGTTTTATCCTGTGTCAGACTCGTTAACCGGATATATTAGACTGTTTAGAATATTTTAGTATAAGTATCATGGTACAACAATTAACGCTGAATACAATTTGTAAATTATTTTTATATACAGTTAGGTAGGTGATTAGCTAGCTAAAATGCACAAGACTTGAAAAGAGATCATTGGAGGAAATAGTATGAGTCAAAGGTAAGTAAAGAGAATGGAATTATTAAGAACTCATACACTCCTTTTAATACCAATATACTCAAGAATGTATTGAACAATTAACATAAATAATCCGTGAGGATTATCTAGATTTTTGTAGTTTATCTCCATAAAATTATAACAGAATACTTCACTTCTACTTGAATGTGGCTCTGATGATGTTGTTCAGAAGAACAACGCATTTAGATTTTTACTAAGGCCACTATTTCTGAAAAAAATAACCAGGTTCTCAATATCAAGCTATAGGGATAATAAAAGTCTTCGAAAATCTACACCACGAATCCTTAACGCAACATCTCCTTCCATACAAAAACAAGAAAATTTCAAAGTTTCAGTTTATCTTACTCAACATGCTAAGATCGACTTGAAGATAACCGATACCAGAGCTAATAGTGTACAATAGCGATGACTAGGTTAGAGCTGCTTTTCCTTAGCTTAAGAATCCTTATTATTCGCATCGTCGACCCAATTTAGAACTAAACCCAGAACTGCTACACATCATAATTACTAAAGAATTATTTGATTTCAAAGTCAGAAATCAACAGCTTTCTACGACGAGACATTTAAGAAACCCAGCATCAAGTAAAATCAATTAGTGTAGAAATAAGATTATTAAAATACGTGCTGATAAGGAACTCATTTAATTTGACATTGCAATAAGATAAATATTCAACAACGTCATAGGTTATTATTGCAATGGCAAATGATATTAATACAATGTATTGCTATTAAATTTACTTAAACATGATAAAAATTCAAGGTGAAATTGTCTAACAGAAAAATCAAATAGATAAATTAAAACTTACTCAAACATAATCCGGGTGGTAGACCAATACAACTGGCATATTGTATTGGTATAAGTACTGCTAGGATTATCATATAAGAAGGCCATAGACGTGCACATACTCGTCGTGGAGAGAATAAAAACACTAACATCAGCAACAAGTATAACACACTGAAAGCATCGACACGTGCACATGTAGTGACAACGGTGATACAATGACAAAGCTAAATAGTAAATAAATAGTTAAATTGAAATAACTGCGACTTTTTTTGCGAATTCTCTACTTTTATGTTAATACAAATGCAAATCAATGAGCAGTTAAAATAATAGATAGTAATAAATAGAAATTATAAAACACTGGCATAAATAATAAACGTCATATTAAAATAATTTGTTTACTGGAAATTATACACATTCTCAGACAAAAATGAATTGCTTTTTTTTCTAATTTGAAAATTATTATTCACATGCTTATTAGTTTTATAGAACAAAAATAACTAACAGTAACGAGGTTTATTTCAGAAATATTGACTAGACTGGCATGATTAAAGGTCAATTATAGATTAGACATCTTACGCATATTATTAATGGTGAAGAATTCATAGATTAATCTATTCTATTCATTGGAATTCTACCATGCAGCTAATTGAAAAGCCTAATACATCAATAGTGTTCTATTATCAATAAGAGGTTGCGGAGATGGTTGAATTTTAATACAGACCACGAAGTAACCTAAGTTAACTCTGTTGGATACCAAATCAATGGTTTAGAGGTTGTATTCACGCGCGATAGTGAAGATTCTAGTTTCCATTGCTGCACACAGCTTTGTGAATACGCGCTGCTGAAAAGTCTAATACTAGGAAGAAGCTGCTGTCTAATGATTCCAAGTTTTCAATGATGATTTAATTTAGATCGCTTTATGGCTTCAACAGAGTTCTATTAACTGGATTTTGCTGATGAAACACTCGCTAGATCAAAAGCGTCTAATCAGTAAACTAACGATAGATTAATGAAAAAAGTACTAGTTTAGAAAAACATAATTCATAAAACGTTAAATATGCATACTAATACATAAGCATAAAGCTCAGAATTGAAATGTCCAGAAAAAATCCAGTTTTGAATAATTAATTATTATATATAACAAACTAAATAGGTGTAGTGTATGGAGACAGTGAAAAGCTGAATATCGTTAAAATTGAAATACTAATTAGAAACAAGAAATACTGACCTCCAAACCAAATTTATAGAATCCATAATTAAAAGCAAACTTCACGACATTCAATAAGTCATAACCCATAGAGTTGATTGTAACACCAGGAAATACAACTCCTTCAGCTGGACGAGTGATTTTATCATTGTTATAAAACTGACGTTGTCTATAGGCTACAGCATGCCAGATTACACTGACAACCAGTAACGCACCATATGGCTAAAAGAAAGATAGTAATGATAAACACAGTTATCAGAGAACCAAAATTCCTTAACATAAATTCGATGCGAAAACACCCATTGCTATAAACCTGAATTATTAAGTAGGGCGTGAAAAACACGATAAGAGTATGAGATTGCATTTTTCACTCTAGTTTATTTGCTTTGTAGTTTTGATGCGGGGTTCAACTACTTGGATTGACAAACATTCATCAAGGTTTTTAAACTGTTTATTAAGTGTTTTTTAGTTGTTTTAACAACAAACAGTTTATTTGAATTTCAAGCAATGAAAAACATTTGTATAAATAAGTTTCAGACTAACCATAATATACTGACGAAAGTTGTCGACTTTTTTAAAACCAAGCCAGTTAGTCGGATCCAATGTAGTGGAATTTTGAAGCTTGAAAATCAGAAACAAAAATTTAACATAACAATTACACCAACCAAATGAAATGAATTAGGATAAAACAGATATTTTATATTCGTAATCTATCAGACATAATGTGGGGCATGGTACAAATGCGTCTTGACCTGTTTGCATACGAGATAAAAACAAATTGAATAGCAAAACAGTAATGCAGTAGCATTCAAACTTCACAATGACAAGATAGCAAGATAAGAGAATGAAAAGATGTGTATTGAAGGAATACTAGAACCTAAGACTTAGAGGAGGTTACAGCGTGAATGCTGCTACTAATACTACCACTAATAATAATTACGGTTCTAGTACGGACCAAGCGTTTTGACTGCCCAAACCGACATAGGCGGAGAGCAAGTCAAGCCTGAGACCTAGTGCTTGAAAACTGACTGCTGAGCCAAAGCTATGACGAGACGACCCCCTCGATAAGAAATAGATTACTTAAGTTATCCTTAGAATATAATTTTCAACAGAATATTTTAGCGTTGATTAATTTACTGTGCTGATACGCAATCGAAATAACATCGATCAGAGTATAACATTACATCATATTGGAAAAAGAAAACGATTACAATAATTTTTTTACATTACCTTTACACAAGACGCTGAAGATATGTTAAAGTTGACAGCACTTAACTGGAAAGTCATCTTACAAAGTATTTGAATACTAGTCCAGATGAAAACAAATGTTGTCATAAATCCATGAAGATATGGAAAAGGGAAACAAACGACGAGAAATATAAGAGGGATAATATTCGTAGCGGAAACCTATTATAAAATAAAATAAAAAAAGATAATAGGTTTGTTTAGGAATATCACTTAAATTAAGAAATGAATTCAGGCATGATTAATTACTTCAAATAATTAAGGTGGCTAAATTTTCAATATTCAGTGTAAAAATACATTCACATCAATATAATCCACACTTAGCTCACTACTATTGCTAATCATCACCGTAATCAATCTGATAGAAGTGACGAAAGTATTAAGCATATCAAAAAAATAACATTTTTACAGTCAGAATCGTACTTTCAATGTCCTACAGGAATAAGCACCATGAAACTAGATTTTCGTAGCCCGATGAAATTATCAAAACTGTACGCTTTTTTGATGACGGTCAGTCTATTTACATGTTATCCTAAATAATGAATTCTGTCTCAATAAATTAAAGGTTATTCGGTTATAGGGAAGATGGTTGCTAATGTGTGTATGAGTTCAGGAGTCAGCAGTAAGTTCCAACAAATAGTTTCAAAGCAGGAAAGCAACAGCCTTATAGTAGTGTTTATTTATTAACGGTGATAAAATATATCCAAGGACATAGAAACTAAAATAAATTTAGTTGAAATCTGATCAATACTTCTGAGATAAGAAAACACAGTAGTTAATAGTACATCATAATGGTGTTTTTAATGAGGAAAACAGGTCAATCATTTGAACATTAATTAATTCTAATAAGTTGATGCTTAAAGGAATTTTTATGAAAATAATTTTATAGTATAATCTCAGCAGATACTGTTCACAATATATTTTTTACAAGAATTTATACGTACAAATTCCAAATAAAAGTTTGTAGAAAGACTAAATTAGTACAGACATCATCAAGGTAGGACCTGTGTGACAAATGTGAGTTCATCCAAATTGCTACAAATAACACACATGAACAAACACCATAATAAAAATCCACAAGATAACAAGCATAGAAAGGAAAATAATACGGGAAGAAATGAAAAAGATGGAAAATTAATAATTGATATTGAACAGAGTATTACTCATTAAAAAAATAAAAATACTAAAACAATTGACTATCGTGGCATAATATATATTTGCACTAACTGAATGAGAAAAAAATTAAATGTGACATTTTGTGATTTTATGTAAATTACTACTTCAGAGAAAACAACCGAATCGAAGAAACAAAAAATTCAAAATGGCAAGCAGATATAAGTTAGAATATTTAGTATAAAAATATTGAATACTTTAATGAAGAAACAAAAACAAAATCAATTTTTTCGAGTGATTTGAAAACCTACTTCATTTGTACAGGTGAGAACTATCACTAATCCAACAATTTTAATCCAGTGTATTTCAAGAAAACGCCAACAATGATTTGTAAGACTAACAGCCCAACAGTATAATTTTGAAACAACTATTTGAAACGCTGAATTCACATCTTCAATAAAATCTATGTAAAGATATGTGAAGTAAGGTTTAATGAAAGGATTAAAATGATTCAATTTACTGTAAAACAATAAAAAGCCAAATAAATCCAAGAAGTAATTAATATACTCCATTGAAAATATCTAGTTAATTACATTTACTTGTGCGTATCATTTTGTAGAACACTGCTTAACGTCCTACATTTTTTAAAACGTTTTACACAACCAAATAAGACTCCAGCAAATAGCTTTGTGTATTTTGTTAGTACACCTGTATAATGTGTATTTTAAACAAAAGTAACATAAACGATGGTATACATCTACTCTCAACTCGATGATATCGAGGAATGTATCAGTAGTGTAAATGCGTTATCAATAAACTTTTCAACCTTAATTATCAGACTAACAATGTTTACTATGAAATGAATGTTAAGTACTAGGTTAGTTAATGGCTCATGTAAGTATGGGAAAGAGCTTAATACTAACAGGATGTATAGTACTTCCATAAGAATAATAAGTTTGCGTCAACACTAACTCTTTACAGATATTCGTTAAAAATCACTTAAATGTTTCTGTATCCGATAGTTGGTAATATACAAATTGAGCTTAATCTACGTTTAACGATGGCTATTGCGTATTTATCTCAGCCTGGACCATATATGAGAAAATCGCAACGTTAATCTATCTAAATAATGACGAGTGCGTAAAGAAACAATGCAAGCACTTGAACTGTACGCTTGTGAAACTTAGCCTCTTTAATAATTACCCATATATTAAGGCGGTACCGTATAAATGCTAAGGGAAAGTGATGTGCCTCCTGATAACAGAAATGATTCAATAAATGAAATACCATTTTTCTGTTTCGCTTAAATTTGAAACAATTATTTAATACAAGTAAATCTGCCACATAAAATTAAAGAAAAGATTAAATATGACTATAACTTGAATTCACAAATAAGGCAGAAACAACGAATTACTGAACAACTTAATTGTCTAGTGATACAGTGCTACTTCAAAAGCAGTGAGGATAAAAAAAAATTCAAATGAGAGCTCACAAAATGTCTTATGAATAAAATATGTTGCTATGCTATGAATCACATACAGTCAGTCAAGCGCAACGTAGAACCTGGTATGTTAGTCGGTCCTGGTAGACGTAGTAACAGTAACGGCGTTAACAGGAAACATTAGGCATCAAAAATACGACACAAGAATAATATAAATTAGTGGAATGAAAAGAAAAAGAACAATGAGGAATTCAGAAGATTAGAATTTGGAGGATGACAAAGAATAGATGCATCTGCGCCATTGCAAACGATTTTGAGCCATATCAATCAAAGTCTCTATCGGTTACGACTGCCACTTTTGTATTGAAACAACTAATTGATAACTGACCAGAGATTTCACTCCGAATGTATATTTTTAGATGCTAATTAAGTTTTATTGGTCCATTTAATCCAGAGTTGAAAAGTCAAGAGACATAGTTGTCATTTTATCATACCTAATTGATTAAGTTTTAAACTTAAGCTGGAATTCTTCCATACATAATCAGTCATGTTATGAGCGAATAAAGTGAAAAGTATTTGAAGACTAGTTTTAGAAGCTCAGAAATAATATTGTTTTCGGAATTCAAACAATTAGAGGAGTGTAGTTATTGATTTTCAGTTAATTATGACCATCTGTCAACTGAAGTGCTTAAATATAACAGTTAGAAATAATAATAAGGAGTCCTAGAGGAATGGGGGTTACCAATAATTAGTAATTCAACAATCTTCACAATCCCATAATGCAAAGTTATCTGGTGATTAAATAATGATGTTTCTCAATACTAGTCTTGATAAATAACAAAGACCAAAAGTCCGACTTGAAGATAATTATTTTATGCAAGAAAAGAATCAAAGTTCAACAGTTTATAAGTCCAGAAAACTTAAATACCTATACAAGTAATGGTAAATACAAGTCTCAAGAAGTACGTTAAGATAAAAATGCATAATTAAATCTGAAACTTACTGGAAATGTTACTGCTCTGAGAAATGGATGTATTTGAACAGTGATCGTCAGAAATGCCAGATCGTGAATTGACAGAAGCCTTGGAAATTTGAGGCAATCTGAAATATAAATGAAGTAAGATCATTTTATGATATAAGATTATTCTCACCATTTAAAAGATTAACATTTGAAGTACATAAATACAAGCAAAGTCGATATATAAAATATTTTTTTATTTGTAAAGGTAACAGGATCTAGAGGAAATATGTAAGGCTACAAAAATCCCTTTAACTAATTTTAAATTATTCATTACTTAGATTCGACAGAGATATCAATTATGAATAATCTTGAAAAGTAAAATGTATATTATACTTATGATCGGTAGTTGTTCCGTCTGGGATCTAAATGCAGTATTATGACTAAAGAAAGTCAAATCTTCATCCTAAAATAACTTTCGATTTTTTCGTATTGTATATTCATTGCTGGATTTAACTAGAAAACACATCTAAATACGACTTCTAAATTTGAAAACAAAAAATAATTCCGGAACCTTATAAAACTAACAGTTGCAAATAACCTAGAATGATAATTGGTTATCATCATGAATATATCTTCGGCGTTGTGGCGATTTTCAAACAACCAAACATGTCATTTAAGGGCACTCTACCGTACAATGAATAATATAACACAAAACGATGAGAATATGTTTCAAGCAATTTGCCGATTCATTGGATTTTACAAAAAAAATATCCACTGCATTTTTTACTTCAAAAAAAACTAATTTACATTACATAAATATGAAGTGTTACTTTGTACAGTGAGCAATGTGATTTGAAAAACAAGAGAAAAAAAACTTAAATACGATTCCATTAAGTTAAATTTAATCAGATAGTAGGAAGGATTTGAATCACATATCAGCCATGAACTTAGAACCATATTCGTATGAATAACAGTGAACAAAAAAAATTAGATGGCAATAAAATATCACACTTATACAAATCAAAAGTTGGCTGTTATTAATCATGAATATGTATGCAAAATATTGATTGTTGATTATTTGGAATCATTAAAATAAAATTAGAAAAACTTACCGAAAACGATTTAACGCAGATGCCTTAAGGAATGGTACATGAAAGTAATGCACTTGTAAAATTATAACAACTAAGAATACGACTGGTGTTAATAAACGTTCGAAAAGAGCTGCACTTTCAAACGTTTCTAATCCAAACGCTTTTAAGCTAAAAGAGATAAAAGAAATGTAAAAGATGATGAGAGAAAATAGAAAACAATTCATGTGATTTTGATTTTGATACAGATCTCTTAACTTGAGCAAAATAAAACATTCTAAACTTTATACAATGAAGCATTATTTCGACGACAACAACAACAACAACAAAAAACACTAGCTAGGTTTGTAGTGCCTCCAGATGCATTTGAGTTCGCTTATATTTAATGTGGTTAAGCCTTGTGATTAACTTGTTTAACCAAGCGACTTGTATAGCAACAACTTATATGTACCACTGGTTTTTACTATTATCTGGTTTGTATGAGCAGTACGAATGAATATTGCTCATGCCTACAGGCATATGCATCCTATTCGCATTAGTGTTAATCTCTTAAATATCTCGATGACTCGAGATTTCCCTATGTATACATATGTACATTCTAATCTTATTCGCCAACTCGCTCGCTAGTGCGTTTGCCCTGCTATGTGTTTGTGGTCTGCTGGTCCATTTTGTGGTGTGTCAAAAATAAATGCATTCAACCCATCGTGTTTGCCTTCTGATTAATAACCGTCGGGAGCTATTTGGTGACGATTGTCTAGACGAGCAAATTACGAAGACTAAGAATACGTTGAATATCGACCGTCACGGGACTAGTGATACATTGGCCACCACAAGTAAAAATTGAAATATCGGTTAATAAGTTGAAACTTACATCTCAGGTGAAAGGTGTAGTTTATTCTGCCAGAAACTGGGTGACTCATTGAATTGAAAAGTATAAATACACAGTAGCATCGCCATAGAGTATACAACTATGACCCACCAAAAACATAACATTTGACGACGCCAAACAGAATAACTTATCTGAAAATAAATAACTATGGGTTTATAAATTTGCAAAAAAGACATTTACACAATAATTTCATTATAAATATATTTAAATAAATAAGATAGAAGAAAAACTTAGTTTATAGTGGTACTGCGCCGCATAGCAACAGGTAACTAAAAGCGGACAGTAATTGACAACAGCAGATTTATTAAATTTGTAAACACCAATTACTACAAAAATAAATGGTTTCAAGCATCTACTAAATTTAGATTATTGGGAAGTTGTAACACAAAAACATCAAGTTCTTCCGTGTTACAAAGGTTATTTATCAAATATCTGATATTTGTGTTATGTCTGCTAACAGAATGATTATTACACAATTCAACCGTCGACACTAGGACGAGGACAGCCCCCAGGTCGCAAAACAAAAGCCAGGAGAGACAAAAATCATAGCCCAGGTGAGTAGTCTCCCATCGTTGCAGACTATTTACTGTATAACCCAAATAGAGCTGGTAATGGTTCGCAATCAGCTAACAGGGTGAATTGCTATCCAAGTATTATTTTGTGGGACTTCTTCACTGTGAAAGTAACTGATAGTGCTTTTTTCTCAAGATGACTGTAGTTGCACTCTCTTACGGCTAGAGATTTAGCTGCGTTAGAGATTGCTTTTTCAGAACCATCAGGAAATATATGAGTGGTAGCCGCCCTGACACCGTGGTTTGAATCTGTAGCAACCACAATGTATTAGCAGGGATCATTATGCGTGAGTAAGAAGTTGGATGCTAGAAGTTGCTTGATTTTCTCTAACGCTACTTGACATTCTGTGGGCCAATTCTATTTAGCGTTGTTTACTAACGGGTTGTTTATTGGAGCTCCTAGGTGGTGGAGATAAGGAATAAATGTTCCTTAATAACTAACTAGTCCCAGGAAGGATTGTAGAGTAGGGAAGTCTTTAGCCTGGGAATGATTTTAACAGCTTCAATGTTCTATGGGTCTAGTTGTCATCCGTCTTGATCTGGACAGAAACTCTTCTTAACGATTGTTTTAAGTTAAGATTGACATTGAGCTGTTGATGCTATATATATATATATATATATTACAAAATACACGGAATGGTAATCTCACCTGAAAAATTAACATGAAGTAAATCAGCATGACCATGTAAACAATACGAAATACAACGACAGGCTGTTGAACGGAAACTAACAGCATACTCAGACAGCAAACGACAATCCAATACTTTACGCATAAAGAATGCATAAATTTAGCTATGATATGAAGTGGAAAAAAATACATAGTAATACAGGATATTGAGTTTATTTTTATTTTACATATAAGTAAAAATTTACATTTTATTTGTAAGTCAAATTATTTTAACACAAAGAGATTATCTAAATATCTAGTCAAACAAGAATTATCATAAGAACGTAAACAAAATCACATATCAGTTACTACATATTATGGGGTTTAGTAATACGTGTACTTTTTGCAGGAATTATGCGACATATCTGGCAATCTGTCATCCCAATACAGAAGAACACATATTCATTGCCAACTTAGTCCCTAAAGTATTTTCCGAAGAAGAAAGTATAATTCAGCTCACTGAATCAAAAAGACAGAAATACGTATGCAGTGGTTACAAACAAAACAACTCAATTATATTTGTGGTCACATATTTTTATTGATTTTTAGATGAGTTCATCATGTTTGCGTGAGGATATGTAGCAACACAGGACATATTTTGAAGTAATGTTTTCTATACACAACAATTTCAGTATGAATAAATGCGTAAATAAAGTGTTGAAAGTACCCATGACCAATTGTTAACTATGAATGAGGAGATACTCCAGAGATAGAGTAAACAAACGACCAATATTAATGCAACCTACTTGAAAAGTATAGGTTTGTGTTCTCGATTTCCTTTAAGAGTACAAAGATTAACAAAATAACCTAAGGACTCACTAAGTATGAGCAGTAAGGTGTGAACCTAAAAATTACTAACTGGGAACCGAGTACTTTAACTACTAGGTCGGAGAAAATAACCTATTACTTAACGTTTCATAAAACAGAAAATGAAACACCTCACAATAATAAATTACAAAATGTGTAGATATCAGACGTTAAGATACCGATAAATCTCCCAAAACGATGAAATAAAATGGTATATATACATATATCTTAGCAATCGAGAACTAAGGAATAATCAAATCGAATTCATTATAAAATATAACGCGCTGACTAGTAAGAATCATACACAAAAGGTTATGTTGGTGAGTATCAGAAATCCTAGAATTACTCTCCTTTTTCATCAAACTATACCAACAGCTTTACCAGTTATATCATAGATATAATCAGAAATAAAAGTTAAATGAAATTACTGAATCGTCTATAAACACTATTGTCCACAGTTCCGAAAGATGCACCAGGGCCATAAATAGCAGCATTATAACTAGCATGTGTCTGCGAACCGTCCGCCATGTTTAAGAAAGGAGTTAACAAGAGATTATTTCCATCTTCCTTATCATTTCGTTTACGAAACCTCAGGACAGTTGGCAATGACTTCTGAAAGCGAGTAAGAGGAGTTGAGTCTCGACTAGTTTGAAAATCTTGACTTTTTAAAACAACTCGTTGATAATGTGCTGATAGTTGCTTGGCTGCACGTTCCATTACGAACAATCTCAGAGTTAGCCAAAAGCAAATTAGGAAACCCATCTAAAATAAAAAACAATTTTAAGATATTGACATTACATTTACGTTACATTTCACCTAAACACTCAAAGTATTAAAAATTTCATGAGACTTAAAGAATTACTAATAAGACTCCATTGGTCTTTGATCATCACGATTAGCCTAAAAAGTAAAATCTATCTTGATAGATAGACCAGTGCGATGGAAAATTTATTCGAGGCTTGACGATCCTCCGACATAATCCGTTCAAAGTAAATTTTTCATGATGACAGTGACTAGAGAATTGGCAATACGTTACTTTTTAGTTTGCAGCTACCAGAACTTAATATCAGTGTGTATTTGCTATTGTAAGAGATTTTGGTTTTTTGTACACGATATTTAATATTACATTCTAATAAAGTGATGCTGAGAGTCCACTTCACTGTCAGTTGCAACGTAGAACTTCGTACGTTTGTACATAAGTTCATGTTGCCATACCACATTATTAGC